AAATATCGAGCTTTACGGTAAATTCAAAAGGGGAAGGCCATAAAAACTAAACGTTATCAATCAACGGAATTAGTGAAAACAGCTGTCATATTCCTGGCTGGGTACAAGTATTTTCCGAAGAAAACGTTGGGTTTAACCTTGTATTATAGCTTAACCTCCCCTTTTTTTAATTTCCAATTTGAAAAAAATGAGGTGTGGTATACGTAAATTAGAATTTAAAAACCGACATATTGTAACAATCAACAAACTGAAGATGGCGACCAAAGAACTTGTGATGTTAAAGTTCCAGTAATTCTTCCTGATAACCCTGTCTTTGATTTAAGAGTGTATCTTTGCTAGTGAATTAACCAAAGTAGGAACAGGGATTAATAAAATCACTTTAATGTCAGTGTTTCACCTAAAACGAAAAGAACCCCCATTCGAAAGCAACCTTTTTGATACCATCATGCTTAAAGAAAGACATGCATGCCCTATATTCTGTGGTTGCAGAATGGCATTCTTTTCAGTATTTCAGAAGTCATCTTCCATGTAGGTTGGAATGGATTTAAATCAATTTGATTGATTGGGCCCTTCTTGTTATCCTGTTAGTGTTTACCCTCTTCCTTGAGCATATCTAAAGAAGATTGATTCCAAAACATATGGCCTGCTATTGATAAAAAATATATACATTTATATATACAATCAATAATCCTTTATTTTGTGCATTTAATTTGCTGAACTTTTGCAAGTCTTATATAAAACTGCAAAATAAATATCTAAATGCGTCTATTTAAAATAAATATCAAGATCTGCGGTCTCCTTTTTTGAGAAAAAGCTTGAACTATTTAATTCGGCGATAATGTGCAAATAACACTAATTTCGAATATGCATGGTGACATGGTGACCAGTTATCTGGCCCGTTAAAATCTCACAAAAAAAATGAATGGGTTTAAATAAAGCCTTTTATGAGCATTGTGTGAAAGTTATTTAAAAATCAAAATATTTTTAAAGTTGCCCCGAATCAAAGAATGTAGATAAAAGTTCTATAAACTATACTAGACCGTGCAATATATTTGAAAATGCTATTGGATTGCAACAATAGAATATGATTACGAATTATTAGAGAACTATCCATGGATTTGAGAAAAGAAAAGTTGTAAGTGTTTTATAACGTTTGAATAAACATTCAAACATAAAACCGATGAAGGTAGTTTAGAAAAAAGTATTAAAGATTATATAAGGATTATAATTCAAAAGTTTGGATTGACGGTAAAAATACAGCTCTCTTCTGTTTTAGACACTTAATGGTTAAGTATAATTTTACAAATATTCCATGTCACTCCAGGCCTAATTTCAATTTATGAACTTTTCGGTCATCTCCCCAAAAATATTTGGTCCATGCAACTTTTTGGTCTATAAACTAAATTATTTGAAAAATAACAATATCGTCATGATTTATGAATGAATTTATATTTGTCGGCAGATAATTATATGATCTGAATAGGATTATGTGTTATCGAATAATAAGCTTACTTTTCAAAACTATTACGACAAGGTATTAGATTTAAGATATAGCCTAACATTAGCAATGTTGAAATGTTTTGTGCGATTCATCTGCAGTTGCAGCAATATTAATCAACTTACACGGGATGGTTGGCGGTTACAGTGCGAAGTATCCTGTAAAAACGTTTTCCTAGTGTATTCCTCCCAACACGAATGTTGGTTCATCCCATAGTCTTCTAACGGATTTAAAGAAATACCAACTGTGTGAGATTCTCCAATGTAATAGCTGTCATTAAACCACAGATGTAGTACATCAAAATAACTGCCTTTGACTGTTGGACAAAATATGCTTACCATTTGGATCATGTGATATCTCGGTCTGCTTTTATAAGAGCTTTTTTCTTTTGTCTGTTGTTTTGTTGTGCGTGTGTCTGTGTTAATTTTTTTTTTACTCGTGTCTTTGTGGTAAATTATTTTGGTGTACGCGTGTCTTTGTGGTAAATTATTTTTTTATTTTTCTTTAACTTTGGTTTTCGAGTGCGTATAGAGATTTTAATTCATGAAATAATACATCATATCCCTTCTTTTCTATAACAATGACATATAGTGTCGTTTGGAGGCCGTAGGTTTCTAAGTGCTTGAGGTAAATGTTCTCATATTTTTATAGTTTTGGCGTATTTATTCTTGAGATAACTTCTATGTGTATTTCTTAAACTTTTCTCCTTCGGCTTGTATTTAAGGAATAACTGTAATATTTTTTCTGTCTATGAAGAAATAACATCAAAAATGTGATGCACACTGAATAACCCGCGTAGAATTCCATTTTAAACCGGAGTAAACAATGAAAAAACGTTGATGACGTCACGGTCACATGACTAAATTATGTCTATGAGCTGATAAACAAAACAACGTCAGCCAATCAGCAGACGCGTTACATCCAAAATTAAATTATACGATTATCGACATCTAAATACAGATCATGCTAATTATTTGCACTATTCATACATAGATTTCTACCAAGTTGTGTAACAAAGATCTTGATTTAGTCCGAAGTTTATTTAAATGTTTGTATTGTTTCTGCATTTAAAAGTTTGTCGAGCCAATAATGAGTGTGTGTTAGATCCCCCCCCCCCCTCCCCCCAACACCCCCGTATGGTCTCTAATTTGTTGATCGATATTACCCCATAGCTGTTCAAGTCTTTATTGCACAGGTAAATGGGCATCCGCAAAGAACTCCACACATATTGATGTTAGGGGCCGTGTTGACCTAGCAGTGAAGTTAAATCTTTTTGTTTCGTGTTGAAGGTCTCACTGTGAAAAAGCTCATCATAGATACCAGGCTTAAACTTTTTTTGCACCAGACGCGCGTTTCGTCTACAAAATCTCATCAGAGACGCTCGATTAAAAAAAGGTATAAAAAAGCCTAATAAAACACGAACTCAAAGAGCATTGACTTTGAGTTGATTGACAGCAATACGAGAGCCTTTTCTTTGCTTTCGGTTTATGAGAGTTCGTGTAGGTATATTATGTCATGCATCATATCCTTTCGTAAATTTTACGGACACCATCACGAGTTGGTTGACCGTTATGGAATATATGTTTCACAGATGACGACGGATATGTTCCAATTGTTGTAACTACAATCTCGTCCCCTTCCCCCGAATGTGACCTACCGAATTAGACATATCACCGGGTTTGTACTTACATGAGCAACACAGACGACGGGTGCCACATGTGGAGCAGGATCTATTTTCCCTTCCGGAGCACCTGAGATCACCCCCAGTTTTGGTGGGGTTCGTGTTACTCAGTCTTTGGTTTTCTATGTTGTTTTGTTTACTGTTGTTTGTCTGTTTGTCGTTTTCTTTTTTAGTCATGGCGTTGTCAGTTTATTTTTGACTAATGAGTTTGAATGTCCCTTTGGTATCCTTTGTCCCTCTTTCTTTCCATTTTATGTGCATAACAAGGCAAACTAACGTTGAACATTCCTTTAGTTATCCAGCACATATAAACTTGTCTTCAGTTCAAATATATAGCCCGTAATCGTTTACGTGCATTTCTAAAGAAATGTGTACCACACTATCCAACACCCTCTTGGAAGATTGATAGAAGGGGTACACATTCACGTACATGATAACGGACTATCTAAAACATGAAAACATGCGTACGAAGCGCTTTTCTTGGTTTACCTTCATCAGGAACGCTCAAAGCCTAACATTTAAAAGCCAAGGATGTATAAGAACCAAAACAGTTGAAGAGCTATATAACCAAAAAGGACCTAAAAACATAGCCAAATCCTTCTAAGGTCAACTTTGCCTGAGAGAGTTGAAACCTTAGTTTCTTTATAATTTGAAAATTTACAAACGGATAATTTTAGAACATGTGTGATTAAAGCAAGTCACTACGGTCCTTCAATACATGTACATGCTGCATTTGAATCTACATTCACTAGATATCAGCAGTATAACCTAAAATTTATACGAACTTCTAAGACAAGTTTTTAATTATATTCAGTTCTCTTTCAAAGGCAAGTCGAAACTTTAGAGATACATATGTATACACAATGAAAGTAAGTTCTCAACAATCAATAAATTCGGTGATGTCGTAATTTCATTAGAAATAAGTCACTTGAACGAACATCGACATTAAGAGTAAATGAAAATATTTTATTAAATTTTTAAAAGAAGTTGAAGTTCTGGCATGCATGTCTTGGCGAGTCCAATCCAAAATAAGAAGGAAATGAAAATTTAAATGCTTGAGATGGTATTAAACGAGAGTCGAATAGGTTTAATTGGATGTAGATGAATTTTATGTCATAATTGTAACCAGGAAATTCAAGAATATATGTGCAAGTTTATGTGAGGAAGGGCCGATTTCCAGAAATTCGTGTATTTACATTTTGAAATATGTTGAATATCAATAGTGAAACAAAAAATGAATCAATTGGACATTCCTAACCAAGATTTAAATCATATCGGCAAGCTCCTCTATGTGCTATGTGCATTATTTCATTTACAAGCTCATTTGTTTTGGTTCTTGGAATCCTTCACCGAAAATATGTCATGTACAAATTGCAATAATGTATCAAAATTGTCCCTAATAGTAATGTATGGCAGTAAATAACTTTCCAATATTATGGTTATATGTAAAACTATTGAAAATTGTCCAAAAAGCAATGTACAAGTAAATGTTATGCATATAAGGAATTTGTTTTAAAATCTTAAAAGAATTTCATTATCAAAATTCATCAGTAAGTTTCATAAATTTTCAATTTCGACCATATGAGTGGAGTAAATAATTACGCTAGAAATTGGTCGTATGTCTTTATTTAAGTGTTAAATATTAGTTTTGTGGAAAATGCAATCAAAGCATTTGTTCCTGTATAAGACCAATAACTATTGGTCTATAAGCTTGTTGTCATGTTTACGTTGTAGCATTGTAACATATCTCTCCTTTGTATTGTTTTGTGAACAGTTTTGCCGACTAAAGCAATAAGCTATGTCCAAACATTTAAAATGGGAGTGGATAGTGGGTTTTTCCTATTTCTCAAGGTAAACCAAACATATATTAAATATAACAAGATTGAACGGAATAAAATATTCAAACATGAACAGTAAAATGCAGGAAATGTATGCAGTGCACTAATGCATTATCATTATAAGTGAGTATATTTATGAAAATTTTCTTTTGGAAGTGTTCCAACTTAATTATTAAATGCTTCTGTATACACACTGCTGTGTAAACTCTACGTATATCCGGGAGAGTAGTCGTATACTAATTACTATTTCGCTTGTATTAATTCTTTCTACAATATATGACAAATTACTGTTGATCATTGCTACTGAGACTTCAAAGTTTTGGGGAGTAAACAAAGGAACATATATGTTTGAAAAAGCTTAGTCATTGTTTTAATGCAATTTTTAATGATACTGATATGTTATGGTAATATATGCATAGTTGTTTTTAATTCGTGTATTTTTTAAACACCTAAACAAAAGGGGGTATGAAGCTTAAATATTTTTATTTAGTTTTATACATCTATTTTTTTTCAATCTAAGCTATATACATTTTTTTTAAATTTAAGCTATGTACATTTTTTTCAATTTAAGCTCTAGGTTCCAAAGTTTAGTTTTTGTTTACTTGGAGTTCTAAAAAAAAAAAAATTGGCATGTAGGAATGAAGAAATACGCTGTTTTAAAATTTTCATTGCTTTTTAAAGTTTTCTCGAATTGTAAAATAAATTGATATTATTTTCATTATCATTCTCTTAGAAATCCCAAGATTACAGGGTGTATTAAATAAATGCATGTTTATAAAAAAAAAAACATTGTTGAATTAATTGGAAATTTCAGATTTTATTAAGGAAAAAATTGGAAAGAATATCAGAAAACCGTTGTTTTTCTTTCTATATTTTTGTTATCATTGCCAAAATTTTCAAATTTGTTCATTCGTGTTTCAAATTTAACGTTTTTTTTTATATTTTACTTTTATTTTTACAATACATTGAATTTAAACTAGACAAAGATGAGGTTATGTCAAATTATAAAATTCTCATTTACATGTTTTGTAAAGCAAACAAAGAACATGAAGAAATAAGCACATTTGTATTAATGATCTCTTGTTCTGGTTTTGTAATTTTTCTCCTTACGATGTGTGTTTGCCCATTCACATCACTTATTATCAGTTGTACGTTTCTGCTGATGCCATGATGAACGCAATGAGTATTATTTTTAGTGTACAATATTCATTTTCAAATAATGGAATAAATCGTCTTGAAGCCTTAAAATGGTAACTGAATTAAATTGCAGGAAAAATTTTTACCATATTTTTTTTCTAATTTCGGGTTATCATAAGTTGGACTTCATCGTTATACATGTTGAAATTGACAGGGTATTAGCATGTCCAAATATGGAATTGTATTTTTTTATCTTTGAAATATATGTCATCATAGTTATTATTGCAGTTATGTATTTGCATAAACGATTTTTTATAAGATTGAATTTGTCTATGTAAATTTGTGACAGATATTGCAATGGCGTCATTTCTAAGAAATTGTTTATTTTTTAAGGCGAATTAGTTGCATCGGGGCTTGGTTCAGTTTTTACGTTATGTTCGATGTAACTAATTGAGCATGATTAAGAGAAAAAAACATCTTGTCGATTAAATGTGTTCTCTTAATGAAGTATTTAGTGCATTCTATAGAATTTATAAAATTTCGTTTGTCTACTGCATCAACAAATCATCAAAAATAAATTCAATAACAGTATCCTCTCTGTGTAATTAAACTTGTAACAATTTCATTTTGCATTATTGGCATTTATTCTGTAATTTTCATTTCCAGTTTTCATATCAAAGGCATAATTTACAAATATGCTGGACTTTCAAATTCAAAATGGCGAGCTATGCAGTCTTGAAGAAGCTCTATATGACATTTTCTCAAAATCCAAGTGTAACAATGTCCTTGATGAATCACTAACAGCATTAGAAACAGGAGATCTATCTCATCTGGTCAAGGAAGAATTAAAATGTACAATACAAACAAGAAGACTAGCAAAAGGACAAGATGAACTCAAAGTCGACTTTTCTGAAGAAATCAAGTATCAGGTAAAATGATATTTAGTACTTGTAATTATTTTTAGGCCAAAGTTGTATTTTTCTTTGTTTGCGTTCGATTTCTAATAGGTCTTTTTGGTGGTCTGAGGTGAAACTAAAGAAAAAAAATGTCTACACTTATTATTCACTTTACTTTAGCTCCAACAATAGTCCAACCAAGAGAGTAGATATACATACTAGTACTAGTAATTATTTTAATGATACTGATATGTTACGGTAATATAAGAATATTTGTTTTAAATTCGTGTATTTTTAAACACCTGAAAAAAGGGGTATGAATCTTAAATATTTTGATTTTTTTTTGCATGTGTCTCAATCCCATTTCAGGAGCCAACTCTGTTGTTCCCTCATATGTTATATCTAAATTTGAATTTAAATTTAAATTGCGTTATATTTTCTATTTACAACATGTGCTGTTCTTTCTACAAAATATCTTCCAACTTATATAATGTCAGTTATAAACCGTCTTACATATATAGTATAATATAAAGTGAACTAGTGACAGGGTCAACAGAATAGGTTACTGACCTTTTAGCAAGTTTGAACTGATATATTATTTTACTGGTTGTCCTTTTGCAAGTTTAGATCTGTTGTGACTTGTCAGTTCTTACGCTTATATTTATCAACAGGGGGATTGATATGTTGAGATATGACAAACCCCGATCTACCCAACAATAAAATATACCTTTATATCTTTCATAAAGAGGGGGTAGGGGTATCAACGACCGCGATCAACACAATGACTCTATTTTTTTGCACGTGTCTCAATCCCATTTCAGTAGCCAACTCTGTTGTTCCCTCATATTCATGTAGATGTGTGTTATTGCGTTATATTTTCTATATACAACATGTGCTGTTATTTCTACAAAATATCTCCCAACTTATATACTAAGTTCTAAACCGTCTTTAGGTCAAATTTAAATAAAATTCTAAATAAAAAAGAACATAAAAAATTCTGGCGAATAGTGGAAAAGAAACCATATGAACTATATTCTTATTGGTTACAAATCTTTCATAATGTTTTCATTTTCATGAAAAATGTGGCATTCGAATTTACTGTATGATCTAATGTACTTTTGATTTTGAAGCTTACAGAACATGAACAGAACAAAATTATAAGAAGACGAGAACAAAATAAAATGGCTGCCAGGAGGTTTCGCAAAAGACGGAAACAAAATAAGAAAACACTCTCCGAGGTAAAAGGGTTTGATTTTGATTGAAACATGCAATATTTTGGACGATCTCTTCTTGCTTTATATGTTATATGATCTTATGACATTAACTTCTGCATACCTAGGTATGATATATAAGCAAGCAAAAACTTAAAAAAAAAAAAAAGGAAATAAAAAAAAAAATTCACACAACTCAATATAAAATATTCTAATAACTCATTTGATATAATCTCTATACTGCAAAATCAGAGAGCACCCAAAACATACACACACACACACAAACACACACACACACACACACACACACACACATATGAAACTATTACAGAAACAGGAAAAAACTTACACACATATACAAACAAAAGTATAATACAGAAACACTCAAAAACACAATCATGGATACATACACAAACTAAAAAAAACAAATACAAACACACACAAACGCCAATTAAAACTCCCAAAATACAAACATACGCTAAAACAAAAAACGCACAAACAACACACGCACAAACAAACGCTTTAGGACTTAAGTATATGCATGCATGTATATAGGAAATCTGAATAAAGATCACGCTAAAAGGACGGAACAAATTAAAGCAGCAAGACGGACAATACTGACAAACAAGAAAAGAATTATACGGACAAAAACACTTAAATCTGAAGGTTTAGACCATACGAAATCAGGAGCAATATCGTGGTACTCTCGATGGTTAAGCATTAGGGTGTTTTATACGGTAAGTGAATGCAAGGAACCCATTTGGCGCCTTACAACACGTGAGAAACAAAACTGCATCTGCTCGACTCATTCAGTGCATTATTATCAAAAACTGTACCCTCTCAGCTCCTTCTGTGCATGTTCAACAAAAGCTGTACCCTATCGACTCCTTATAACACATAATCATCAAACTGTATCCCATCGTAAAAAAATGCATCCCCTCCTCTCATGCCTTACAAAACTAGATCACAGGCGCTTGGGGAATGACCACCCTTTTTTTCTCTAAATATATTCTAATTTGCTTTTAGTAAATATTCTTTATATATTTCAACTTTGTTTCACTGACTTAATGTGTTTTTGCTCTTATCTATACGATATTAAAATGACAGTAGTTTATATATGATGCCCCTCTAGCGACTGTGCACGATATCACTAATATTGCATCTTTATTTTTTGTCTACTTTGTTAATTTTTCATTTTTTTCATAACAGATCCAAGAACTTGATCGTGATAATGATGCAAAGATGGATGAAATTAAGAGATTGAGAGAAGAAAAAGAGACTCTTCTTAAACTTTTAAATGATCACTTACTTGTCTGTCCTGGCATTCAAACGACTTTGTAAAAAATCATGATTGTTGTGATTTGAAAAAGAATATTTGTGTTGATATTCGTATGATTGTTGTTTAGATTGTTTGTGAATTGTGTAAATGAGAAGGTGTTTCAAAATTATTTATACAGAAAGTGTTTATTATATTTTTAAATTATTTAAGTTATACAGTTATAAATCAATTTGTTGAGAAATCAGGGAACAAGATATAGATATGGATCAGATTTTAAAATGTGTGCAATGTTTTGGTTGTTATATGTGTATATATTATGTGTGTTAAATATGTACACGGTTTGCAAGCGATTATAAAAAATAAATTAAGCATCGAGTTACCACTTACTGTACATCTAAATAGTTTATTTTAAAAGATTTTCTCCAGAAACTAACATTATCCTGTTTAAGTTTACCCAAATAAGGGTTTCCTATCTAATCTATACCTATATATGGTATAATCTAGGTTATTGAAACTCGTGTACTGGTGCAAAAAGTTAGTGGGAGGTGGGTTTTCCAAATTCTTTCATATGTCACCGACTATCAAACATGCATTTTGAGGGTAAGAACTGTACCGGAAAGAAACGGGGTAGAGAACAGTATGATTTAAACACCTGACCTTGACTTTATTGTCAGAATTTAGGTTTTTTAAAGTCTTTTTCTTAATTCATTACCGTCAGGCGCTCTTACTTTTTTTTTATTGATTTAACCCATATAACAAATTAATAGCAAAACAAAATTGCTTATTGTCTATCGTGTCTGTCGTGTGTATGCTTTTTATGTGTTTTTCTTTCTTTCTTTTCTATCATTGAAACAATCTTAGTGTAATATATGTTGCAGGTGTATGTAAAAAAAATCTGATATGGTTCGATTAAATTGGACCATAATTAAATATTGATTTAAAAAATATAATACATTTAAATCTAGCTTGCAAATATGTTCAACTATTTTCTATTTAGCTAAGTTGCTTGTGTTGTACGTCAGGTTGGTGTGATTTTGTAATGATTTTATGATAAATTTTCGTGTTAATGCCATCCGTTCACAGAATTTGTCTCTGTAAACAAATACCTATATACCTTTACTTAACTAAAAGTGTATTGCTATATTTTTTTGGCAGAGACAAGAGCCTTTGTTGCCATTTTCTAGTCTCAAAGATAAGGACGGGTCTGATTTTTATACTCCCGTTTACGGGACGTATTATGGTATACCGTTGTCCGTTCGTACGTCCGTTCGTCTGTCCGTCCGTCCGACCGTCGTCAACATATCGTACAATAACTCAAAAACGCTTTAACCAATGTGCATGAAACTTTGTTTATATCTATTGACGTGAGCTCCTTGTCGATTTTTATAAATTTTAGATTTTACATTTCCGAGTTATGGGGTTTTATTCATTAAAAAAATGGGAATTTTCCAGTCCTTAGGTGGTCTGTTGCAAGGCAAAGTTTCTGTCCCTATTCAAATACACTGGTTTTCTTGTGGCAGTCCAAATTCCTTCGACCTTCTTCCCGAACGGCCTCTATAACAGGACCTAATCATTGTATTTAATTTTAAATTATACTTGTTCTGAACATGCATGAAATATTTGCCACTGGACGTTGAGTAACCAACAATCAATCAATCAATCATTTTGAACCAAATAAGGATTTAAAAGTGTATTTGATAGCAGACCTTAAAATACCTACCAGTAACGAACGCCAAGCAAAGGGAAAAAATACAAATTTGGTTTAAATCGAAAAAACAAGAGCATGCATAGCAAGGATTAGATAATAACACCTTTTTATTTGATAAAAAAATGAGAACAACTTTTTATTCAATTTTGATGATATTTACTTATATCTAATTGCAACAAAATGTGCAAAGGGGAGGCTGGAACAACATGAATCAAAGACAATTGAAGAGTCAAATCAGATGGAGGGAAAGAGCACTGGTAAAATAATAATGACTTTAGACGGTTTTTGTTTTTGTTCTGTTTAGTTTCTTTGGGTTTGGTATTCCGAGAAGTTTTATGTATCTGCCTTTCCAAACCTTGGTTTCCAGTGGACATGCATGAAGTCTTAATCCAACTTTTGAAGAGACACGTATCAACTATCTTACTGTAATCCAGTTTATGATGTTTTAATTTCTACTTTAGAATCTGAATCACTTAAACTTATTGAATGGTTCAAAATTAATAAAATACAGACAAACACTGAAAAATTTCAGGTTTTATCAGATGGGAAAAAGACATACAACAAAAAATAATGTATACGTATTAAAAGTTTTGATCTTTCATGTGAATCAATGGTTAAACCGCTTGGCATTGACATTAATTCATCAGTTAAATGTTGATATTATATCAGTAACATATGCAGGAAGGCATCTAAGCAGCTAAATATTTTGAAACGTTTGGGAACTTATTTGAACAAGCTAAGTAAGCTAACTATATTCCATACATTTAGTTTGAGTATTTTCAATTTCTGCCCTTTGGCATGGCATTTCTGTACTGAGAAAAATAAAAAACAAAATAGAAAAAGTGCAAGAAAGAGAATTAATGTTTGTATATTAAGACCATTCATGGTCATACCAACAGTTGCTTGAAAAGGTTAAAATGCCTTCACTTTATATTAAAAAACAAATTTCAATGGCAATGGAAACGTTTAATATAGTTAATGAATTAGCACCTGCCTGTTTACATGATCTATGAATTCTGTCAGATATAGTAATATACTGGATATTCCTAATGTATAAATCCACACAGTTTGGTAAAAAAAAGTTTTAGATTTGCAGATGCTACTCTGTGAAACAGCCTACCCAACCATTTCAAGACTAAAAATAATTTTTTACAATTCAAGAGCCTTATACAGTCCTGGAATGGATCGAAATGTCGTTGTTATGCATGTAGATAACCTTTTCGTGTATTATGTTTTGGTTATAGCGCTTATATTTAAACCAATATGCTTAACTTTTGCATTTGCTCTAAATTTTGGATGTGTGCTCTGATTTTATTTGTCCTTTAAAGTCGTTTTGCTTAATTTTTGTTGAGCTTAAATTTAAGTTATGCTTTAATTTTCGTTATGCTTCAGTTTTAGTTTGTTTAGATATATAGTTTAGTAGTGCTTTGCATGTGTTTCAATATGCCTGTGCTGTATCTATACAGTATGATGTATTCTGCTTATATATATCTTATCTGCATGATCTCTGTTTTAATGTTATGTATATGTTATTTACATTCAGTAAAAAACTCTCGACAGCTTATTCTTGTAATGTTATATGTGACCCGCTCTCGACAGCTTATTCTTGTAATGTTATATGTGAACCGAATCAAAATAAAACTTTCGTATTCGTATTCGTACGTGTCGTGCGTATGAAAATCGACAGCATACCTTTTTAGATTAGACTTCAGTATAACTTTAAAGGCGGGAAATCTATTTAAGCGTTTTAGGAAAATAAATAGTGGAAGAAGTATATAAAAATCAGAATAGATCTTGAATCAAAGGGAAATAAACTAACACAATGTAAAAAATGTATTTGTTTCATGCAATCTAATTAAAATATAGATCTATCGTAACTTATATAACAGTATAACGAAATCCGGCATATATTTGCATGCCTATCTTAATTCCATTTATTATTATTTGCATGAAACTCAGAGGTCTATATTTTAATTGAATTGTGTTTCATGAAAGCAAATCATTTAATGTATCCATCAGTAGGGTTAAACATTTAATGAAATGCATGCATTTTAAGCTATATGCCCAATCAAAATTTTGACACTTTACCAACCTATTTCTTTAAAACATCCATCACATTATCCACCAATTAAAACTAATACATGACAATACCAGTTCTATAAAAAGAATTAAGAGCTACAAATAACAAAGAGAGGCTATCGACGGGTCCTGTATTAAAACGGAGAACAGAAACAATACGCAAGCCAACAGATGCAAATAAAATATAGTTCAGAACCAGGCATACCGATTAAACGAATAGACCTATACAAATTATAGAAAACTCTTCACACAAAAGCGGAGTGTATAGACAGGTAATCTTGTAACCCTCCACTAGAAAGAAGAAGAAAAAGAACGACCCCCTCCCCCTTCCCCACACCAAACAACAATAACAAAAATCAAAACAAGCGCAAAAAGGCATAATAATTCATTTGTTTCATTATATGAAATATTCATAGGGTAGATAGAGTTGCTCCTCTTACATTGTAGATGCTGTTTTTGTTAGAATGGTCATCATGTCGGAGCTTTTTGTAGCCGACTACGATATGGGTTTTACTCATTGTTGGAAACCGCTCGGTGACCGATACGCCATTTTGGTCTTTGGTGGATAGTTGTCCCACACGCAATTATACCACATCATATTTAACTGTCCTATTTGAATTGTGAAATTAAACATTGAAATTATGCAAACAAGCATTAGCACCGTCCTGACTCGGCAATTTTGTCTGTCAGCAGTCAACTTCAAACATGATCGTAGCAAATGCCCTAAAAAGAGAGAAGGTCAGGTAGGGTGCAGTAAACTGTGAAGTGAATATATAATAAAACTACACCAAATACATGCAAGCAGAGGTAAAGCAAGAATGACAAAGAAAGTATAATAATTTATGTTGTCTGCCTCCGTTGAACTTTGGGTCCGGTACATGACTTTTGTTCCGTAAAACTTAGGTTAACCAAACTTGGTATGCAGTTGCATCATGGGCTGGGGTTTGTCATATAACAAAGTCAGATCAATCTGCCCTTGGCTTTGACCTTTGACTCCTATGATAGTAAAACCTTGTCCAATTCGTGTCCATTGCATAACTTTTGTACCGTAAAACTTAGGATGACCAAACTTGGTAAGCAGTTGCATCATGAACTGGGGTGTGTCATATAACAAAGTCAGGTCAATTTGACCTTGGATTTGACCTTTGACCCCTATGATAATAAAACCTTGTCCAATTCGTGTCCAGTGCATAACTTTTGTACCGTAAAACTTAGGATGACCAAACTTGGTATGCTGTTGCATCATTGGATGGGATGTGTCACATACTAGTCAGGTCACAATGCGTGTCCGGCTCATAACTTTTGTTTTTTAAAACTTAAGTTAACCAAACTTGGTATACAGTTGCATCATGGGCTTGGGGTGTGTATACCAAAGTCATATCACTCTGACCTTGTCTTTGACCTTTGACCCCTATAATAGCAAAGTCTTATCCAATTCGTGTCCTGTTTATATCTTTTATACAGTAAAACTTAGTTAACCAAACTTGGTATGCAGTTGCATCATGGGCTTGGGGAGTGTCATATACCAAAGTCAGGTCACTCTGACCTTTGACCCCTATGATAGTTAAACCTTATCTGATTTGTATCCTGCTGATAACTTTTGTACCATAGAACTTAGGTTGACCAAACTTAGTCTATTGATATATTATGGGATAGGATGTGTCATATATCAAAGTCAGGTCACTCTGACCTTGAAATTGACCTTTGGCCCCTATGATAGTTAAATATTGTCTGATTCGTGTTTGGTGCATAGATTATGTACTGTGGTGCTTAGATTGACAAAACTTCGTATGCAGAAGCATCATCTAGATTTTACCTTTGATTTCTGAATTTTCAGTATACGAACCTTATACTTTGTTCCTGGATCAGTATAATTCTTTTCGCTTGACCGATCAGTAACTATGTATCAATCTAACACAGCGGCAATGATTATATAAAATGAATAGCTGGAAACCAAAAATCTCAAAACGTCATTGCCTCAATATTGAATTTCACAGTAGCAACTAAAATGCATGTACGGGGGTATTAGTCCCGCTATGTTGGTAGTTCTAGTTTTAATTAAGGAATATATCTCCCTCGTGTAAAGCTCTTATTCTTTGCCCGGCTTTGGCTATATTTTTTGTACTTTTTGGTTTGATCAGCTCTTTTTATTTGTTGAAAATTTTGGATTTTCAAATATTTTGGCCTCTAGTAACACTGAAGAGACATTAATTGTCTAAATGCGCATCTTGTGCAGTAAATTTGTTGTTACACCAAACTATCTTCCGCCTCCTCCGTATATTATTGAGTGATTTATTTTTGCAATAATCATACAAATTGAACGCACGAAGAAAGACAACTCTATATCATAAAGGTTAGTTGTTTGGTCTTGACTTATTGACATATTATTCATTGACTGGTACATCATTTAACCGTATTTTGCAAGATTTTCAAAAGAGTACATTTTTACTATTGAGTTCCTTGTTTGTGTTATGATAGTTTTACTCAACTAAAAGACAAATAGATTTAAAAGAAATAGAATATATAGAGCCAAATAATCTTATAGTTAGTAGATATAAGAAGATGTGGTATGAGTGCCAATGAGACAAATCTCCATCCAAGTCAAAATTTATAAAAGTGAACCATTATAGGTCACAGTACGGTCTTCAACACGGAGCCTTGGCTCACATCGAACAGTAAGCTATAAAGGGCCCCAAAAATTACTAGTGTAAAACCATTCAAACGGGAAAACCAACGGTCTAATCTATAGCTATATAAAAAACGAGAAACGAGAAACTCTTATGAACCACATCAACAAACGAGAACTACTGAACATCAGATTCCTGACTTAGGACAGGTGACTTAGGACAGTAACCTTCTAAATTATAATACAATAAAAATGAGAGAGAGAGAGAGAGAGAGAGAGAGAGAGAGAGAGAGAGAGAGAGAGACGGGCTTGCATTACTGTTCTTCATCTTAAAACCTTTAGGAGCATCTGAATTACCCTCCGGTTTTTCAGTCTGATTAGCGTTGACCAATATTTCGTTTTCTTTTGTGGACTCATTTGACATTTCGTCGTTTTTCTTTTGGTCAGAGTGTTGTCTGGTTTTTTTGGCAGTGGCTATTTTGCCGGCTCTGATTAAATTATCTTAATTCAAGCCGGCAAAATAGACTATTTCTATAGAAATGGCTATTTTACCGGCAACAGCAATATAGTGACTTTGTGGCCGGCGCTGGAAAAATAAAAAATATGTTATTTTGCTGGCATTATAGGAAAGCGGAAGCCAGTTAAAATCTATTTTGTTTACCATGCTTACACATATGCAATTCAAATAACTGGCTATTATTTCAAAAGCAAGTTTAATTTAAACATTTTTGAATTTTGAAGCTATGTGATTGACTTTGTTATGTTGTATAATGTTTAATCAAACTATGATGCAATGAGATTTTTAACTTTTATTTTTTTTTTATAACTCAGTTAAAAAATCTGAGATTTTATTCTTATGCATACATGAATAAATTAGACTGTCACTAACTGATTTTAGAAATAATTTCAACTACATATTTAGATATGATTTAATTGCAACAAATGGATGCTTAATATTTTTATTTTGTTTTTTTCTTGTTATAAATTCTTAATAGTTATTTATACTTTTACTGATAAATGTTTTAAACGATTATATGTGTCTCAAATATTGTTAGCTGTTTTCTTATTTAACTACTGGTATATCAGTAATTATTTGATTCTTTTATGTTGACAGTGCACATTTTCACAGTTCTTTTCAAAAGTAAATATTAAATTTCAATCTTTAAAAAAACTGCAAAATATTAATTTCGCTTTATTGCTGGTGCCGGTAAAATAGCCATTTCTATAGAAATATGCTATTTTGCCGGCTTGAATAAGGATATTTTAATCAGAGCCGGCAAAATAGCCACTGCATTTTTGTTCTGCTCCTTTTAAAATGCCCCTTGGTATGTTCTCATCCGTCTCCCTTTTCTCTCTGTATATTAATCAATCTTTGGTTTTGCAAACTTTTAGCTTCGAAAGAAAGGACAAAAACTGTACAATGAAAATATTTGAACGTTTGAATTCGATCAGGAAGAAATAAAGAGGCACCTTCCCAATAAGTCCTTTCATTCATATATCAAAATCGTGAAGGGATATTCAAAAGGAGTACTAGTATATAAGTACTAAGATGCAGCGACCTAAAATAAAGATAAGATATAGAAATAATGATATGATGCATGATCGCCAATGAGAAAACTATCCAACAAAGACTAAAGGATAGGGATGCCTTAGTTCATGTCAATCCAGTTTACATTCTAAATGTCTTTGTATCGTTGGGTCACTGTGTATCGTTAACACCACACACATCTACTTTTACAATTACCCAGTGTTTCCAAATTGAATGTCAGAGTGGCCCTTATTCTGATTCGAGATCCCCTAATCATGAAATTTCTTAAAATATGTTTTGTTTAACTGCAACATATGGCATTGTTATGAGCTTTTCGAAATTCAGATCACATGGTCAAAATTCAATAATGGAAAAGAGCCAACATAGATGAAATCAAGAATGAGGTTAAGCAATTTTTGAAACCTTTTACCTGAAGACCTTTATTGATATTGAAAACATGTGGAGGTATTTCAAAGAAAATATCATAAAATGATTTTTAGTAGACATATCTTTATATATCTTACTTCAAATTTGCTTAAACATATTAAGCCAAGACTTTCTCATATAAATGCCAAATTTTGAGTCTGTGAATTATGTATGTATGTTGTTATTTTTTTTTATGTTATTTATTTGTTTTTATATCTTATCTTAAATATATTTATATGAGGTTTTAAAAAACCCTTCTGTTACCTCTAAATATGACACGCCTCCCTCGCACGGTGATCCAATCAGATTACCCTTTTCTTGGTAAGTAGGAAACACCATTTCGAATACAACATCCGGAGGAAATGCATGTGAAAAATGTCAACAAACATCAATTACCTGAAAAGCAATGTTTTCATGCATTGTGCATCTGCCGATGAGTTTTGAATATTTAAAATATGACGTAGCAATTTACACATCATGGCTTTTGCATCCTCGACTAGGGCTGTGTATAGTAGACCTATAAAAAAGTTTGACAACTCTAAAGTTGATGACAAACCAACTTATGCCAACGAACCGCCTAAAAATTTACCACACCAGTATCAGAATGGAAGCCCTTTTGACAAAGTTAATAAGGTTGGTGTGTCTCGTCCCTTTAACAGAGAGACAGAAACCCATAGTAAGCATCATCGTGGGAAAAGCAATTTTGATAACATTCGGTCTGAATGTTTGAGGAGGAGAATATTGTATGAAGATCCTGATTTTCCTGCAAAAGACTCTTCAATTTATTACAGTCGGACATTGCCATATAGGATTGAATGGAAAAGACCTTATGTAAGTGGTTGTATCTGTCCCTATTTATCCTTTAAACTGTGGCATTTTACAACCGTACCAGTCAATTGTCTTTATTTAGGCCACCCCAAAATATATGTGTGTTTATGGCAGTACTCTGAATACCTGAAACATGAAAACTTGTTAAAAAGCCCAAAACTGATTGATATTGCCCAGAAACTGTATTTTATATGGTTTGATATAGCTTGTACATGTATTTTATGATAAAGACTAAAGTTATACATGCATATCACTATTATCTGTCAAAGTACAATTTAACTTCTGAAATATGATTTTTGTGTCTTGTATGCAATGCAAGTTCCCTTAATTTATATAGTAGTATGGGAAGATGCAGGCACAATTATTCAAAGGAATATAACTAAATAAATACATCTGCCATATCGTCATGATTGTTATTCAAGGAACTTGCATACGAGATACGAAGATCATATTCCAGAAGTGTTATTAAAAGTGAAGTATATATGTATGATTATCACAAAATTAAGCTGTATTAAACCATATGACGTAAGAGTTTTCAGGAATTCGATGTACCCTGTTGCTGGTATGCATTCCAACCCTTTTTTTCAGTGAAAATTGGGCAAATGATATTTCACTGGTATTGTTCCTGACAGAGTTGTTCTTTATGTTCTATCGCTGGCTTAATGCTGAAAATCGGCAACAAATTTTTTTTTTACACCTATCAAAATATAGATCACTGACACAAACAACTTTGACAAATGGCTCCGGAACAAGACAAGACTTTTCTGGGTTTGGCGATCAAATAGAAAAAAGTTGGGTTTTTTTCAAAGCTGACAGATAGAAGAATAGTGTCAAGATGAAAAAACTGTGTATGATCTCGATATGGCGTTATGCAGAAATTTATGATACATGTATACTTAAATATTTGACTCATCTAATGATGATCTTTGTGAAATATTTCTATTAAAAAAATGAAGGGGAAAGCCTAAATGGAAGATAAAAGAAAACAAAGTGGAAGGAAAACAGTATTAACCAATTCTGACAGAAAAAAATTTAATAGACCAAATCATTTACAAATGTAGCCCCTATTATGAAAAAAGTTTAACTTACAAATTGGTATGCTTGGAAAATATGAAGAAAAAAAACAAATAAACTTTGCTCTATAATCTCACTTTTTAAACACATGCTCCACAATAATTTATGTTAGTATTGTGCCTATCTGTCATTTTGTATATCAGACAATAATTTAAAAAACTTGTCAATAATTTGTATATACTTTTTATCTTGGTCGTATGATTACATTGCTGATGTTAATTTAATGACATGTTTAAGATTTGTAATCTCTTGCCCCCAGGGTAATAAATGTCATTTAATAAGTACAAAAAATGTTAATTCAATTCATTTTCCCAAATATGACATGCTGCAAAAAAAAATCCTTGCAACTTTAAAGTTCAATTCCAGTATTCAAATTATGATCAACAAAATAAATAATTTATAAGGAACATATATTAATATTTTGAATAGGACCTCTGAACTAAATACACAGTTCTTGAAATCTTTTTTTCCCTGGTGGTCCTTGAAGGATATCTGATTTGCTCACTATCATTTGTATTGCAAAGTACCAAAACTTTGGTCATGTTTGTGGTCAAAACTTGTGGACCACCACTTTTCTAGAACTCAGACCACATAAACTTCTAGTACAAATACCCTAGCTTGCCGTACTAGTGGAACACACATGTGAACAGGGGTTCAAAACAGCCACCCCATTCTATTTTTACTTTACAAAATACCACTGAGGCCTATTTCGTTATAATTATAAAAAATTACTGTAAACAAACTAATTTTCAGGAGCAATTTATTCAGGGGACCTTTATGTGTAGAAAGGGTACATCTAATTATCCTAAAGATCTTCTCTTACATGTATATACATTTAGTAAATATATACACCAATCAATTTAGAAATCACTATAATAAAAGAGTCATTTGCAAAAGTGAGAGGTGAAAAAAGTGTGAAAATAAGTTTAATTATACAGAAACAGGTCCTTTATGAAAACATTGAACATTACCTTAGCCTTATTTAGCACAATTTTGGTGAATTTTGTGTTTTTAGTGATCTTCCACTTTCTATTTGATTTGGCCTTCCGATTGTTTTGTTTCAAGCGTCCATTTTGAGTTTTTTGTAGAAGAAACACACCTCTGGCCTACAAAATTATACGCCTGATATCTTTGATGAGGTTTTACATGTACATTGTTATGTGCTGGAAGGAATTTTGAATAGTGTAAAAATGTGTTGTTGGAGTTCTATGATGTTATAATGTTAAACATATAGTGTAGAAGTACCTGTTATAGAAGTTTTGCAGACTTCTGATCGTTTAAGTTCTATAAGCATGATAAGATTTATAAAATGTTTTCTAATCTACATGTATAGAACAGTCAAATAAGTTCCTTGGACATTTTGTGAGAAAAAGAGATCTTTGTTAATACTTACATGGACATCATGTACATGCTTATTTTTATTGACCAATTTGGACATTACATGTATGTGTTCATGCGTCAGGTACAAAAAATGTAGCCTATGGCCAACAAGACTACTCCGTATAAGCTCAAGACTTACATGTTTGTTTCCATGTTTAAAATGTTCAAAAGGCAAGACATCTACATTGTAGTATGTAAAATATCTAATAATTTGTGAATGATGAGATGTACAAATTAATCTACATCATTTGTACACAGGCATCCATGTACATTTTTAAGGTTGAAATATGAGCGGAATTCTTTGTTCGGTACAAAATTGAAATGCATGTACATGTATTTATAATATCTACATTGTTTATACTTTGATTTCAGGCCTTTTTTGTTGAATGCTTGTAGTTTTTATACGCCCAATTTTCGTGAAACGTTGGTGATTTGTTCATATCTATTGATGTAAGCTCCCTTTCGATATTTACCAGTTTTAAATTTCACGTTTCCGTGTTATGGGATTTTATTCATAAAAAAATATGGGATTTTCCAGCTTTTGGACAATAATTCAAAAACGCTTTGAGCAGTTTTCATAAAACTTTGGTGACTTGTTTATATCTATTCAAATAAGCTCCCTTTTGTTTTTTTTTTATAAATTTCTGATATAACATTTCCAAGTTATGGAAATTGATGGAACTTATTTAGTTAAAAAATCAGTATTTCTAGTTGATCATATAAATTTATTTAAAGCATAAAGATGAGCTAAAAGGACGACAGGCATATCATGCGCTTCTTGCACAGCTCTTTATTTTAATTTGTTACCCCAATGATAAAAATTATATGTATAATGTATGTAGATGTGTGAAGATGAAAAGAGATTTGAGTGTAAACTTTTCACTTTTCAGATATAAGTAGGATAATTCATCATATTCTGTTTATAAGACTATGTTAAATATTTCAAGTATTTTAAATATTTTAAGTAGAAGAGACTCTGTTGTTTAACAGTATGATTATTGAATTATTAAAGTCCATCAACGAAGTTGCATGTACTTGTCAGAATGATCATAAAAGAAAGTTCATCTCTTTATTTGTAATCATTCATAAAACCAGTTGGTTGTTAATAAGGTGAAATATCCCAACTCAACCATAAAGTGGGCTATCATTGATCTAACATTGTATGATTACTACAATAGTTACAAATTTACAAGATTTTGTTTAAATCCCTTAGAAAAATAGTATGGTGTATTGATAAATTGCTTAAATTCCGAATTGATTCTGGTATAATTGTTTGGTCATTGTTTATATTGTAATTCAAATTAAACCTGAAGACAAAATGTATACACTTTACATTGTATGTCAATGTGTTTTGTCCATACTTGAGCACATGTACCTAGTTACATATTCATTTATGTTGTGTATGCACAGTAAAATTCCTCTTGATAGATATGATATGAACAAAAGATTATGTACATAATTACATGTAGAATTATTATTCATTTAGAGTTCTTTATGATCAACACATGATCATATAAGCCTTAGTTTAGATCCAAGTTTAGTGAAAAAAGGGTTTTATTTTACAATGACACTTTTTTTTTTTATTTTTTTTTTTATCATTTGGGCTCAAGCTGAAATATAAATTTTCAAAATGTGTATATGGTGCATCAAATTAATTTCAGTACAAATGTATTACAAAATTAAGTCTTTTTAATTCTATAAATGCAGAAATTATTGTGTGGATTTATTATTGCGTTTGTTGAAAAATGTCCTTTTATAGGGTTTGAATGGACAAAAACTCAAATTAATTTCAGAAAATATTCCATCATGTAGTGTCCATACAAATAATGCAAACAAATTTAGATTGTGAGTTTTTATTTTTGCGAAAAACCTATCCGGTCACAATAATCCTGATAATAAAACATCTGTTAAATTTCTGAATTTACAGTAATATATTGATATTGTTGCACAAACCATATGTTAGGGGGGTCCTTCAATTAGAGCCTTTTTACTGCGTCATTTCGAATTTAGAGATTAAAAAAAACAGCAATAAAAGCACCTTTCTTTTGCAATTCAGTTTTGGAATGTGTGTGTACATCTGCAACTTCTAGCAAGTTTTATTTGATGACGGATGCTTTTTAATCTAACAACGAATTTAACACCATGTATCAATTAATACATCTTTTCTCGTCTTTTTTATCGCTAGAATATATCTTTATATAATTTTTTTGGTTCAGGCACAGATTTGGTGTTAGTCTGTACCATGCATATATATTGTAGTATCTAATACTGAGTCACACAAAATTGAGTAATTTTAAAAATATTTAAGTTATTTGAAAAATATGTAAAATTTTTATAAATAACCACAATATGATTATTGTTTTTCAGGAGATTTCTGCAACGTATCGACTAAAGCCAAACTTTTTTGTGGATACACTTGATAGTGCCTCAAGGTTCGACGTCAATCAGGGTGAACTAGGTGAATGTCGTCCTTTAATATTATCTATAATCTATGGTATTTACATTTATTGATTTGGTCAAGGTGAACCAATTTAAATATTTCCTTACAACTAGCCAACTTATCAAAAAAATGTGTACATGTTCTCTGATTAGAAATTGAATGAATGAACAATTTTTCTGAAATTTATTTTCAGCGTAACGTTGATTTGATTGTATTCATTGACATTTCGAAGTAATAAAAGATTCAGTTTTATTAAATAATATGATACTACAAACACATTAAAATTTTGTGGCATGTTTACAAATTGATGTAACATTTAAATTTATGTGTCACAGTTTCACTTATATCTAATTCACCTGTAATAAACTTACACACAATAGACTTAAATGCCGTAAAAGTAAAGATTTTTCACATAATTAAACATATTTAATTTGAGACGAAGTTAATAATGTGCAACTCTATTTTATCTTTTACAATGCTTAATGTACTAAGATTTTGTGGTATAACACATTTTGATCTTGTTTTTGCTTTTCTCTATTATTTAATTAATATGAAGTAGAAAAAAATCATAGTTGGGATGGATGCATAAATATTGAAATATTTGAGGAATGATAGCAAAAGATAAAAACCGGTATAAAGTGTCAAATGAAAAAAAAAAGACATTTCCTGAACAAAAATCAATGAGATGTTTTCTCTATTATTCAACTTTTATATGGGTCATGTTACAATAAGAAATATTCCTCAGTTCTGTTCCCTAAAAGGTAATCAAAGTGAAGGTTATACAAAATCCATGTGATAATTATTTAAATTTTACATTTATAAATAAATGTTTTTGTGAATTCAGAAGCAATATTTCTTGAATTGATTGTCATTAGAATTATAGATAGCAAGTAAAGCCTTTCAGTTTATTCACTATTGCAACTGACCGTGCGAGACTCTCATGGGTACCGTAGTCAAGGTCGTTAAACACCCCCTAGTAGTACTTTTGCAAGAAATCTAACATACTCCGGTGACACTTTGTCATCACAGCAGAAAAAATGTATTAGCATCACAAACCAAAACTTATAATTTTGTAATAATAATAAGGTCAACTAATTAAAAAGAGCTAACAAAATATCTGACTTCAAGAACAAAAATATTGATGGGATAAAGGGGGTAAAAAGTGGGATCTGAGAAAAAGACGGGAAAAAGTTACAAAAAAGCTGGATTTAGGAAGGAGCACTGTGTGTCACTCTCTCCTCTGAATGAAAGTAATTATACATAAAAAAACATTGTAAGTAAACCTATATTAATGCAAATTAATCCCACTACAGAAATTATATCTTTCTGACATTAGAAAATTTGAAGGCGCAAGTTGTCAATTTTCAAATATAATCACTTTTATTTTCAGGAGATTGCTGGGTTCTGTCTGCTATTGCCTGTTTAACAAGTCCAGATCACCGAGAGCTTTTCCGACGTGTTGTCCCAGCAGACCAAGGTTTCCAAGATGGCTGGTACGCTGGTATCTTTAGGTTTAATTTCTGGCATTTTGGCAAATGGGTAGAAGTAGTTGTGGACGATCGATTGCCTACTTATAGAGACCAGCTGGTGTTCATACATTCTAATCAATCTAATGAATTCTGGGCTGCATTACTGGAAAAGGCTTATGCTAAGTATGTCAAAATGTTAATAAGCTCTTTTAAAGTACAGAGTGGGGATTTTGAAAAATATAACTCTGGTTTATCAGTTCAGATGAGCATCTGTGTTCTTACATGTACATGTAGCTATAAGTTATAGTACTAATTTCGGACTTTTAAAATTGGCAAAAAACTTGGATGTAAAATATTTCAGACTTAGTAAAGTGATAATTGTATTATATTTTCATACTGAAATTTTAGATTTTATCTTTGCATTTGAATTTTTTGTACATCTGCAATACTAAACTGTATTAACCTCAAAACATTCTTTTAAAATACTATGTTCAGTGATCTCTTGTTAATTACATACAAACTGATAAATGTGGAAGGACTTTTTGAAAAGTTTGTTTGGAAAAGGTCAAGTAAACACATCAATAAGTTCCTTGAAAATAACCTTATTACTTCTATTTATATTTATTTCAATAAAGCACTCATACAAATGTTTTAAAAATGTCCTGATGAAAAAAATCTCATCACACTTATAGAACTATTTTGCCTGTGTAGGAATTCATACTGGTGATGTCATAAAAAGGGGTTTATGCACATATACAAACATTTTGGTTCTCACCAATGAAAAAGACTTAACACTTAAAGTGATCTGTTTTTATTTTCAGACTGTATGGGTCCTATGAAGCTTTGAAGTCTGGGAATGTTGGAGATGCCTTGTCAGATTTTACAGGGGGCGTTTCAGAATACTACACACTACGAGGACAGAAAGCCAACTATCCTAAGGGACTAGTCAACATATTGTTTAAAGCATTAGACAGACAATCATTAATAGGATGTGGTATCAATGTAAGATTATTTGTATAAATTACAATTGTTGGTTGAAAAATACCAAAGATTATATTAAACTAAAGCTGATTTATTTCTGTAATGAGTGCCAATAGAAATACATTGTACAACACATCACAATCGCTTTGGATCTATTTGAATGACAAAATAATAAAGCTCATTTAAGGCATTCCTTTAACATTTGGCTACACATTACTTGGACATTTCGGTCTTGCACCAACATAGTTCAGAAACTGGCAATACAATTTGTAAGTCTCATAGAGGTCAAAGCAAAACTTACTCATTAACTTCATGTTTACAATTATTAATTGCAGGGTAATCGTTAGTAAGCATTCACACACAGTTCAGTTTATTGTCTTTTTATTTCATCTACCAGCTGGTCTGTCTCAGATTATGCCTAGTGGATTGTTAACATGTTATGCTAGAAATGTTTCAGGTCTATAAAACATATTGTTCATTATGTGTTTGTTTTTTTTAGCTCCCACCAGATGGCAGGTCTAGGACAATGTCTGATGGATTAGTGACAGGTCATGCTTACAGTGTAACAGATTTAAGAGAGGTAATTTAAAAAAAAAGTTCGTGATGACAGGATAAAGTTAGCTTCTGGGATATAGTATTAAAATGTGCCCTCTTACTAGACATCACCACATCCGGGGATAATATTCCAAATAAGTATGTCTGCTCTTACTCTTATATGGTATACCGTAGAAAGGCTTGTATAGTTCGCACTGGTACATAGTCCGCACCCCCTTCTCCCCACGAAATTTTAGGTAAAAAAACTTTTTGTAACTGTTAGAAAAGGTCTAATGAAACTCCGGTAATTTCAAATCCTGTGCGGTCGTTTGCGGTATTTTCTTGGAAAAACCTGTTTTCCATCATCAAACAGAAGCTGAAACAGCTTGTAAATAATTCTAGAACGCTTCATGATTGTTAAAATAAGTTTAATTTACTTAAAAAACAATTTCGAAACTTGTGTATGTTTAAACAGGAAGCTTAAAAAGCACGTGTAAAAGAAGAAATTAACCGGTGAGAGTCGAAATCCGTACATAACAGATATCACTATAATACGACTTTGAAAGTAAAACAGTTCCATCCTTTTGTAAAACAGTCTTTAATATATCTATCACATTAATGTTTGAAGGGTCTTAAGCTAATACAAACCATATTAGTCAGTATGAAACACCAAAACGGAACGAACAATAACCGATTACGTTTTGTAGTCTACAAATTCTAAGCTGGTTTACGGTTGTCTTTTTGACTATGTTTGTATCGTTTCAATCAAGCAGATACCAGTTTATTTCAACCAATGCATTGAAAAGAAACGAGAAATTTGTAATGAAAGGTTTAGTTTTTATATTTATCAGTATTAATTTGATATTGAATAGAAATAACTTATTAATATGGATGAGTTAAAATTATTAGTTTGAAAAATGATAAGAGCGCCCTCTACAATATAAATAACAAAGATGGCGGAACGTAAACAAACCACCTCGCCCGCGAAATTGAAATTTTTCTCTTATTTCTTGCTTATTGTACTCTATAGTCCGCACCCCCTCTGGAAGGTCCAATTTTGGAGAATAAAACCGCGGACTATACAAGCCTTTCTACGGTATGCCTCAAGGAAAAGTACCAGTTTTTTGTCTTTCAACAACTGCTTTGAGAGTTTTTTTAATTGTTTATCTGTTTCAAGGCAAAACTCTTAACACTAACAATCCAACCCCAGCAGGAGTAAACCAAATACTTTAAAATTGGTATTTGCTGCTTCTCACTGAGCATGCAGTATTAAGAAATTAGAGCAAAGACTGATCTTCTTGGAGTTAACATTATGTGTCAAGGTAGGATGACATGTCTTCCTACTAACTGTTACCGTGTGAACTAGCATGTTAAAAAAATCCGGCTCAGTATGTCGGTCTAGTACAAAGCAGGTTGATATTCATATATCATTTTAAACATGTTCTCGTCCTGAATATACATTTAAATTACTGCTGGATGTTAAACAGTCTTCCATCATCATCATCTAACAAAAACAAACATCTCGCCATTTTCCAATGGTAGTTTCCCAGCTGTCCTCAAAACTCATCCATTTTTATGCCCCACCTAGGGGCATTATGTTTTTCGGTCTGTGCGTCCGTTCGTCCATTCGTCCGTCTGTCCCGCTTCAGGTTAAAGTTTTTGGTCCAGGTAGTTTTTGATGAAGTTGAAGTCCAATCAACTTGAAACTTAGTACACATGTTCCCTATGATATGATCTTTCTAATTTTAATGCCAAATTAGAGTTTTGACCCCAATTTCACGGTCCAATGAACATAGAAAAAGATAGTGCGAGTGGGGCATCCGTGTAGTATGGACACATTCTTGTTTAGAACCTATCAAACTATTGGTTTTCATACTAAAAAAGCATGAAATATCAAACAACAGTGGATAAGTCTATCAATTTCCTCTTTGAAATTAGAACATAACTAAAACATTTAAATTCTTATGGGAATACTTGATGCTTATTTATCTGTTGCAGTATATAAATTTTGATGGAAAATTCTTCCTTTAAGAGCACCGCTACGCAGCAAATTACTGCCTGAAAAAATATCTGTTTCATGTACAGAATTTGTCAAAATAAATCTCTATATAAAGGCCATTTAAATCCACATACAGCATTGGCTATACTTTTAAATGTGACAACAGGAAAACAGATGAAAGATAAGACTTAGATGAGCCTGCATGTCAGGTTTAAAACCAATCTATATGCAACCTTAGTAAATGTACAATGCCCAATGCCTGTGATGCAGATTGTAATTTATTCTGGTGTTGATATACCTTCACATTTCATACATTGTTTTTAATGACAACATTAATATTGTTTTGCAGATACTGTTGATGTCTGATAGTGGAGAAATTCCTATAACATTAATCAGAGTAAGGAATCCTTGGGGATATAAAATAGAATGGAGGGGCAGATGGGGTGAAAAGTAAGTGTTTCTTTACTCTAAAAAAGAATCAGAAAAAAAATCTGTATTGATAGGAAAAAATACATTTAATGGTGTAGCCAGTATGTAAGTAAGAAGATGTTGTATGATTGCCAATGAAATAACTCTCCACAAGAGACCAAATGACACATTATGCATTCTTGTTTTTGTGGAGCATCCACATTGTCTAAAAAATCACTAAATTATCCTCCATATTTTGTATGTATGTGCATGGTAATGCCACTAAAAGAGCAAAGAATTTTTAGTCGGTGTCAGTTACAATGGGGTCTCATTGGGGGTGTGGTCTGATCCTGGATCCCACTTATTGTTTTGTCAGATTCCTGTATCCCGCTTATCATTGTAATAATAACGCTTGTAATTTCACATGTCCCTCCCGACTTCGTTTCATGTTTTCACTCACAATAATTTGACTTTCACGAGTCACACTTACATAAAATCAGCCAATCCCGCATCACGCTTAGACCCAAATGAGACCCACTTCCAATGAAGCTCTGAAAAAATGTATCATTTGTGCATTAATTTAAATTCATATTTTAATTCTGATTGCATTAAATTTATGTTGCATTCCTATTAGAAATAGCATTAGTTTATGTCACATTCTCTATAAATCATTAATTTGCTATAATAAAGGCAAACAATAATTTGCTTATTCATAGTATCTGAGAATCCAGTTTCTATAAATGTCCTTACACTGCCTTGTAATATAAGTTCCTTTTGATGAAATGTCTTGTACTGCTAATTCAGAAAAGTAAAGTTAAATTTTTATCATACACCAGATTTATTGTCTTAATAGTATCTTGTTTATGTTGTTTCACAGATCAAGAGAATGGAACAGTATTCCAGAAATAGAACGAGAAAAAATGGGACTTATATTCAGGGACGAAGGAGAATTCTGGTAATGCAGCTTATAGCAGAAATGTTATTTTTAATTCATGAAAGGGGAGATAATGTGTATTAATGTACAATCAAGCATTTGGTAGAATAACTTGCATTTAATAAGGGGGGAGGGGAGAGGGGAGACAGTAAAATAGGAAATTATCAGAAAGTTAAAGTCTACATTATGTCATTTAAATCTTTAAGATTACAATTAAAGTTGTGGAAATGATAAAAAATCTTATGAAGTGCCTGGAATTGTCGAATGACATAATATATGATGTACAATCTGTTATAAGGAATATTCTATTGGATAGGATGGAATTTGGAGATTTTCTGCAGAAGTATGACACATTAGAAATCTGTAATCTGACTCCAGATGCTCCTGTAGAAATGCCAAAACAGTGGCATACAGCGGAATTCCACCATAGATGGGTCAGAGGATTTAGTGCAGGAGGAAGGCCTTCAAACCAAGGTAAGAAAATTACTCTATACTATACTGAAGTCTTATGGTTGCTCTGTCAGACCATCGAATAGTTGTTGCAGATATCAATATGCCTCAAGATATTTGAACAGTGTTTAGATACATGGTGTTTATAAGGCAGCAACCCAACTACACATGATTGACATCTAGGGATATTTTTACAGTCTTAAACGTTTGAAAAAGCATTTATAGCAGCAATCAATCTCAAAATACTCTATGTTAAAAAATGGTCTGTGTAAACTCAAGGGAGATAATCACAATCAAAATTGTGACATTGTCTTCAAACTCTTAATTGTTAGAAAGAAAATAAAGAGACAATAAATTACTGTTCTACCATCCTTTAAATAAGTGGGTAAAAATTAAAGCTTTAGAGCCTGTTGGCCTCAAAAGATATATTTAATTATACTTACAAAGATTTAATCACATTAAAAGTACCAATATTACTGCACCAGATGGGCATTATGACAATAAATGTCTCTACATTGAAGCGTGAGGCCTAAATAATTGAAAATCTAAAAACCTAATAGAAAGATTGAATAGCTTATAAACATAAACAGACCAAAAGGTCAATCCTGGACAAGGAATCAGAGCTACGCATGAGATATGTTCCTTGATTTAAGATTATTTCAAAAATATCAATACAGCAAATTTAAACTTTTTATGAGATATGCAATTCACAATTTGAAAGAGACGGTTTACTAGAAAAACAGGCTTTTGGTTTTTTTTTGAAAATTAAAAGATTTTCCTCTTTTTGCAAAAAAAATTGATTAAAACAAATTTGAAAATTAGTGTAATTGTTTGCAATTGAGTTTGATTAAAAAAAAATTGAAACATAGTGTCATTGTTTGGAATTGGTTGATTTTTTTTTTTTTAAAATGGTGTCACTGTTTATATTTTCTCGGTTATTATAGACACACATTGGTCCAATCCTCAATTTTCTGTTACCCTGTCAGACAGAGACGAAGATGGAGATAACGTTTGTAGTCTGGTTATACAACTTATGCAGAAAGATGGAAGGAAACTAAAACAGTTTGGAAAAAAAAATCAACATATAGGCTTCTTTGTTTATCAAGTAAGAATTTTATCAAATAAAGTGGAAAGTTTTAGCCTCTTATAATTTTCAGATATACTAAAACCAATTCATCATTTGAAAACAGATGGAATACAGAGTATATACAAATGAGATAATCTGGGTACCTATTAAGAGCAAAGGCAAAATACCCAATGTTATCAAAGATATCAGAAATTATGGTAATAATGGAAAATTATAGATTTTTTGTGTAAGTTTGGTTTTCAATTCTATAAAATTATTTTCCATGGACTTATAAAAATTTAATAATAATTGTACTCTTGTGAACTTTGTTTTGTGTGTAAATTTTCATAAATATTGAATTTGTTCACCCTTTTTTAGTGTGTAATTGTTGATCTGACTCCTTGTTACATTATTGTATAATGAAGATTTACAATTCAGTTTACATTTCCTTTTGGTAGACCAACTTTTCCCAATAAATCTGCAGGCATTTTTGTCATACTGGCAAATCTTATTTTTACAATCACATGAATAATTCTGTAAATACTTTACACAGGTGATCTGTTCATCCTGATAATAAATATTGTGTTACCTCATATTTTTATTTCTGTCTGAAATTATCATTTTGATTGAACAACACTAGAATTTTGAGGAGTTAAATGCATTGTTTACCTCCCTGAATGAAGGAGCTAATCATAGGATTTTCGAGAGGGAGAAGTGACTTCTGTTTCCAAGAGAGAATAGGGAGAAGCAGTCAACTTTTTTGAAAATAGATTTCAATTACCGTGTTTTAACGATTAAAATCATCATTTTGCCAGCAAGATTATGCCCTGTCTGAATGTACTGTGTAGCTGCAGACAATGTTTGATTAATAAGATAGAAGTCATTTACAAATAAATGTTTTTAAGTTACAGACTAAATAATACTTTCTTGTAAAAAAGTGGAAATTAGTCTTGGATTGTACTGTCTTGAATATAAGTTTATTAAGGAGTATAGATTTATCTATTTGGGAAATATAATTACCAGCGCAAGCCAACAAGTGACTAAATGTCTAATCAAAGGTACTATCTGTATTCCTGACTTTGCTCTCAATTTCTTTTTGTATAAACAAATGTTTATTCATATTCCTGATGAATTAATTTGAATTTCTTTTCGTTTCAGAATTTAAAGAGTCATCCATTGCCATTGAAGAAGGAATTTTTTGACAATAATCAAAGTGTACAATCTAGTGGGCTATTTATAGATTCTCGACAAATTATAAAGCGATTAACTTTACCGAGAGGACAATATGTAGTGATTCCATGTACATGGGATATTAATGAAGAAGCAGGATTCTACCTCAGATTCTTTTTTGAAAACCAAAACACAGCAGAGTATGTATTTTTTACTGGAATTACACTCTAGACCAAAATTTGAAAAAACTAAATAATATATAATGATTTAGAGTATGTCCAGTAGGACCTATTCAAAGGTCAAGACTGAGAATGGTCAGTTGTGTTTGAGGAGGTACAACCTAAGTTTTGGTGTAGCCTAATTTATGAACTGATCATTTAGAGATATAATGCAACCTCTACGTATTAGTCAATTTTTAGTTTCCCCATTGCATTGCAGGTTTCAATTTACAAAAAATTTCTATATTTTACAGATGTACATCCGCTCATTAGGGAAAATGGCCTTCATGCTATTTCTGACATTTTGTATTAGTTGTCAAGTCAGATATTATTGTTAACTTTATATTAATGTGATTGAAAGCAACAGGACAAAAAACACAATTAATCTAATAGTATTAGATATTCAACTACGACATGAAATTCAGGAATCACTTTAATTACTGTGAATTCATTATTATTCGTGGGTTACCAATTTTTCGTGGATTTCATTGGGATAGGTGAACCGCGAATTTAAATATTGAACGAATTACAAATTTCTATTGGATTTTATGCAGACTTTGGAAAAACCTAGAAATCAAATGCCCACAAAAATGCAAGATTTCCTCAATCCACGAAAATTGGTACCCATGAAAATAAATGCATCCACAGGAATCTTGCATTATTATTTGTTGTTTTCGATTTTAAGAATATTAACAGTTTTCAGTACTTCTCAATGAATGCTTAGAATTAATGCTATTGGAACATTATGATCTTTTTTTAGACGGTATACTTTTGTACTTTCAGAGACATTGATGAAATTCCAGAAAAATCAGACACGCCACTACTTCAGCATCCTCCAGATAAAGAACGAGAGGAACAGTTTAAACGATTCTTTTATGCTGTGTCAGGGGAAGTAAGTCTTGTAGCACATAATCAAAACTACTGAAACAAGATCTGTTAATATGGTTGTTGTATCAGGAAAAGTAAACCAATGTTAAACAATTTCAGTACACTAACATGTCGACAGAAATATTACTACATTCAATGGTCTCAAGGTAGTTTGTTTGTTTGAAGTGTGAGGTGGAGGGTTTGATCCTTGACTGGGTTAAACCAAAGACTTGAAAATAATTATTTGCTGCTTCTGCTCTAAGCGCTCAGTATTTATTGATAGAAGCAAAAATTGGTCGACTTGTTATCAGAATATATTGTCCAGGTATAATAACCTGTCTTCTGAGATCTGTTAGCGTTTGAACTAGCATGTTAAAAATTTGGCTAAGCTAATTGGTCTTATACAAAGCAGGGTTCATATTCATCTCAAATTAACATGTTCTCATGTTGATGTGCATGTACTATTTGCTGCTGGACAATAAACACCAATCAATCACTCCATTTACACATACATATCAATTTTTTATAGAGGAACATTTTAAAGAAAACTCTTATGTAACGTAAAACAAGGCCACCCTTTGGAAATTCTTTGTTTGATGTTGCCTACCCATGCCTTCTAGGGTTGGGTAGGAAGATAGTAATCTTATTTTTTTTTTTGGCCTACAACACAAGTTACATGTTTTAGACAAGAAAACAACATTAGAGCAGGAAAAAATCTTTAAAATTTTTATTTTTTTATTTTTGGTCCAAATGAAACATTTTACAATGTAACAATAGATCAGATTTAAGGAGTGGATAAAAGGAGATGTGGGGTATGCCATGGTAAGACAGAAATGTGATTGATGCGGAACACACACAAAAAACATCTCTAGGTCAACAAATGATCTACAACAATAGAAAAATGTCTTTGCATAGTCATAAAATTTAAAATACATATACAAAAAATACTATATTTTTATATATTTTCCTTAAAGGCTACAAAATAATATAGTATTCTTATTGATGGATTTATAGAAAAAATATTAATGATTGTAATCTATTTTTTAGGACATGGAAGTAACGCCTTATGAATTGCAACAAACATTAAATGAGGCATCAAGGAAAGGTAATTAAGGATAAGAAATAGACAAAGGAATAATTAGGCTTCCTAAATAGAATTAATTTATGTATGTAGTAAAAACTACATCAATTTCAATAACATTATATATTTTCACAAGACTGCAAAATGGTATGAAATTGATAAATGTTAAGCTCCCTAAAAAGAATAAAATTGTATATGTAGTAAAAGCTACAGCAATTTCAATAATATTTCATATTTTCACAAGACTACAAAATGGTATGGTGTTATGGTTATCATCGTTCTTCTGTAGACAAAATGAATTCCATGCAGGAACTAATATTCTTTTAAACACTTGCTGAAGGAAATTTGAGATTTAAGGATAGTCCATTTCCCAAAAAGATGGTTTACAGAAACTTATAAAAGTGTTTTCAATGATATTATTATAAATCATTTTTTTATATGACTACAAAAATTTGCGGCCGTGTAAAGGTATGGGGATGTTGTTGTCGTAGTTGGTCATCCCAAAGACATTTGGTTTCCAGACAATAACTTGAGTAAAAGTGTATGGATTTGTATGAAATTGTACCACAAGGTTTCATGCCACAAAAGGCAGTATCACTTAGGAATTAGGGGCCAAATAGGGGTAAAAAATTAGCAATTTTTAAAACTTTGTTTAAATTGCTTATTTCTGACAATTTCAATTGGGTTTAAATTATCTTGAAATATTGGTGTTCTTTGATATGCTTAATCTTACCATGTATTTAGCATTTTATTTTACATCAATGTTGTTTAGATTTCCTTATTATTTTTTTTTTCATGAAACATATCAATGTTTTTCTAGGTTCTATGCTGTTTCTGGTATACAAAGAGCTGAAAAAGGGGGAAGGGTTCTAAATTTAAAATCAAGTCTATTTGATGTCTTGTTTTTATACGACCGCAAAAAATTTTTTGTGGTCGTATATTGGTATGACGTTGGCGTCGTCGTCGTCGTCGTCGTCGTCTGGCGTCGTCCGAAGACACATTGGTTTTCGCACTCTAACTTTAGTTTAAGTGAATGGATCTTTATGAAATTTTACCACAAGGTTCAATACCACAAAAGGAAGGTTGGGATTGATTTTGGGGGTTATGGTAATAACAGTAAAGGAATTAGGGGCCAAAAAGGGGCCAAAAATAAGCATTTTTGTAACTTCCAGACATAACTTGTGTGTTAGTGTATGGATCTCTCTGACATTGTACCACAAGGTTCCATATCACTAAAGGAATGCTGGGATTGATTTTGGGGGTAATTGCCTCCAAATTTTAGGAATTAGGGGCCAAAAAAGGGGCAAAAAACAAGCATTTTTCTAGTTTCATGACAATAACTTGTGTGTAAGTGTATGGATCTTTCTGAAATTGTACTACAAGGTTCCATATCACAAAGGGAAAGCTGGGTTTGAGTTTGGGGGTAATTGCCCTAAACGTTTAGGAATTTGGGGCCAAAAAGGGGCCAAAAAACACATTTTTTTCTAGTTTCCAGACAATAACTTGTGTTCAAGTGTATGGATCTCTCTGAAATTGTACTGCAAGGTACCATACCACAAAGGGAAGGCTGGGATTGAGTTTGGGGGTGATGAATCATAATGGGGGTTCAAAAAATTTTGGGGGGGGATTTATTTTTTTTTCCTTTTTTTTCTTTTTTTCCTTTTTTGTTTCTTTTAAAATTTTCCATTTTAAGTTGGTTATTTCTGATTTATATTTAAAATCAAATAATAATGATATGGTAGGAGATACACACCAAACAGGATGTGTAAATTATTATATAATAAGTATTGTGCAATAGCAAGAAATTTTCAATTGCACAGTATTGCACAATAGCAAGAAATCTTCAATTGCACAGTATTGCGCAATAGCAAGAAATCTTCAATTGCACAGTATTGCGCAATAGCAAGAAATATCCAATAGCACAATATTGCGCAATAGCAAGAAATTGTCAATTGTACAGTATTGCGCAATAGCAAGAAATATTTAATAGCACAGGATTGTGCAAAAGAAGATACTTCCTATAAATTGCTTATTTCTTGACCAATTTCAATGGGGTTTTATTCTTGATTTCATGGGGTTCTTTAATATGCTGAATCTAACCGTGTATTTAGTTTTTGGATTTTGGGCCCCGTTTTTAAATTGGTCCACATTGAGGTCCAAAGGGTCCAAAATTTAACTTTGTTTGATTTCATCAAAAATTGAATTATTGGGGTTCTTTGATATGCCGAATCTAACTGTGTATTTAGATTCTTAAATTTTGGTTCCGTTTTCAAATTGGTCTACATTAAGGTCCAAAGGGTCCAAAATTAAACTTAGTTTGATTTTAACAAAAATTGAATTCTTAGGGTTCTTTGATATGCTGAATCTAAACATGTATTTAGATTTTTGATTATGGGCCCAGTTTTCAAGTTGGTCCAAATCGGGGTCCAAAATTAAACTTTGTTTGATTTCAACAAAAATTGAATATATGGGGTTCTTTGATATGCTGAATCAAATCATGTATTTAGATTTTTGATTTTTGGGCCCCGTTATCAACTTTGTCCACATTGAGGTCAAAAGGGTCCAAAATTAAACTTTGTTTGATTTCATCAAAAATTGAATTATTGGGTTTCTTTGATATGCCGAATCTAACCGTGTATTTAGATTCTTAATTTTTGGTTCCGTTTTCAAATTGGTCTACATTAAGGTCCAAAGGGTCCAAAATTAAACTTAGTTTGATTTTAACAAAAATTGAATTCTTAGGGTTCTTTGATATGCTGAATCTAAACATGTATTTAGATTTTTGATTATGGGCCCAGTTTTCAAGATGGTCCAAATCGGGGTCCAAAATTAAACTTTGTTTGATTTCAACAAAAATTGAATATATGGGGTTCTTTGATATGCTGAATCTAACAATGTATTTAGATTTTTGATTTTTGGGCCCCGTTATCAACTTTGTCCACATTGAGGTCAAAAGGGTCCAAAATTAAACTTTGTTTGATTTCATCAAAAATTGAATTATTGGGTTTCTTTGATATGCCGAATCTAACCGTTTATTTAGATTCTTAATTTTTGGTTCCGTTTTCAAATTGGTCTACATTAAGGTCCAAAGGGTCCAAAATTAAACTTAGTTTGATTTTAACAAAAATTGAATTCTTAGGGTTCTTTGATATGCTGAATCTAAACATGTATTTAGATTTTTGATTATGGGCCCAGTTTTCAAGTTGGTCCAAATCGGGGTCCAAAATTAAACTTTGTTTAATTTCAACAAAAATTGAATATATGGGGTTCTTTGATATGCTGAATCTAACCATGTATTTAGATTTTTGATTTTTGGGCCCCGTTATCAACTTTGTCCACATTGAGGTCAAAAGGGTCCAAAATTAAACTTTGTTTGATTTCATCAAAAATTGAATTATTGGGGTTCTTTGATATGCCGAATCTAACCGTGTATTTAGATTCTTAATTTTTGGTTCCGTTTTCAAATTGGTCTACATTAAGGTCCAAAGGGTCCAAAATTAAACTTAGTTTGATTTTAACAAAAATTGAATTCTTAGGGTTCTTTGATATGCTGAATCTAAACATGTATTTAGATTTTTGATTATGGGCCCAGATTTCAAGTTGGTCCAAATCGGGGTCCAAAATTAAACTTTGTTTGATTTCAACAAAAATTGAATATATGGGTTTCTTTGATATGCTGAATCTAACCATGTATTTAGATTTTTGATTTTTGGGCCCCGTTATCAACTTTGTCCACATTGTGGTCAAAAGGGTCCAAAATTAAACTTTGTTTGATTTCATCAAAAATTGAATTCTTGGGGTTCTTTGATATGCTGAATCTAACCATGTATTTAGATTTTGGATATTGGACCATAATAGGTGAATGTCCAATTTAAAATTTTTAAGTTCTTAGACCACATTCAATCTGTGTTAGAAACCTATGCTGTGTCAAATATTTAATCACAATCCAAATCCAAAGCTGTATCAAGCTTGAATGTTGTGTCCATACTTCCCCCAACTGTTCAGGGTTCGACCTCTGCGGTCGTATCAAGCTGCGCCCTGCGGAGCATTTTATTATAAATCCTTATAATATTCCTGTCATTTCATGGCAAAATTTGCCCTCTTGCCCCTCTGCCATAATTGAATCAAGACACAACATGGAATGAAATTGCAAACTTTAAGCTGTTTACTTTAAATTAATTTGAATGTTACTATTTTTCAGATCAACATCACAGAAATATGAGTATAGACACATGTAAAAAGTTTGTGTCTTTGTTGGATGTATCCTTACCATCTTTATTTATCATATAATACTGTGGATTCATTTATTTTTATGGATGCTTATTCACGTGCATTGACAAAGAATTGAAATTTTGTAAATATTTGATTTCATGGTTTTGCCAAAGTGCATACAAGTTTATAGAAAATGTGTACTTCATTCAACATTTAAATTGCTGGTTTACCTTTACCAATGAAATCCCAGAAAAATGATATCACACAAATAATAATAAATCCACAGAATAAATAATGATTCAATTCGTATTTCTTAGAGAGATACTTTCCTATTAGTATGTTTTGAACCATACCGATCAATATGTTTAAAGTCTTTATCAATTTCAGAAAATATTCAGATTTATGATATTTATTTATCACATGATGCCAGATCATTTGAATGTTTGAAAGGCAGCAGACGACACCAACAGATCATTTGAATGTTTGAAAGGCAGCAGACGACACTTACAAAAAAAGTTATTTTGAAGACTACTTTTGTTGTCTCCTTTACTTAGCATGAAAATACAAATTTTGTTGAATAGAATTTTTTCTGTTATAAATTTTTGAAATCATTTTAGATAAAGAAATATATCTGCCTTATCCTTGTCAAGATTTGGTCTTATTTAAGGTAGATTCATGGTATACCGCCATCTTGGATTGTACAATCGCAATACACAATCGGTCTAGATCTTTGCCCAAATCTGCAAATTAGGAGACGGTTAGGCAATTTATAGGTTAGACTGTTTATTAACTGAAAGAAAACTTTGTGAATTATTGCATTATTCAAAAGGTTTAAATAAATACGAAATAATTGTGTTTTTAGACTCATTTTTTCAACTTGGCCATTTAAGGGGAGATAACTCTTATAGTTAAAAATTTATACTGGACTGATAGGGAAATTTTAATTTTTTACTTGTAGCAAGAAAACAAGTTCGGTAACACCATTTTTTCTTTTTATTTTCTTAAAGCATATTATTATTTTCTTAAAGCATATTATAAAACCTATCTTTTCATATTTTATTTCAAAATTCTATCTCATAGATTTCTTTTTATGCACAAAAATGTGTTTTTTCATGAACAATCTAAGCAAATTTGTGCAATTTTGTACGACCCGTAGCTTGAAAAATAGCACGGTGACCCATACTTTTTATTATATTTTTGGAAAAAGCATAAAAAAATCTTTATTTTGGCAAAGTATAAAAAAATTCTATTTGAGGAAATATATACCTATGATCTACCTAAGGTTCTTTTTGGGTTTTATCAGCTCTTCAAAGTTTGTATTAGGTTTTGGATTTTCAAATATTTTGGCCTTGAGCATCACTGAAGAGACATTACTTGTCAAATGTGCATCTGGTGCAGTAAAATTTGTACTGTTTATGTTATTATAGGATATTTTTGGCAAAATGAACAATGTTATATCTCTTTAACCTTATTCAGACAGAATTATTAGGCAAAATAGGTTATACAGAGTTCTTGTACTTGTGGAATTTACTCAAAAGTTGGAAGGTAAGTCATTTTAGATTCCATATAAAACCATTGATATTAAAGTTAACACTAAATCTGTTGTTTTTTTCTTCTATTTTTAGTCCCCTACCGACGAAGTCGAAGGGGACTTTAGGTTTGCACTCTGTCCATCCGTCAGTCCGGCAAATAAGTTTTCCACACTTGTTTTCTTCCTGCTTGAAGATATTGATTTGAAATTTGGTATATAGTTTTATCATGACAAGTTACAGATCAAGTTTGAATTATGTTCCGGTCTGATGATTTTGTGCAGAGTTATGGTCCTTGGACTTAGAAAATTCACTCAAATAATTAGTTTTCTGCATTTTTTTTTTGTCATGCTTGAAGATATTGATTTAATAATTGTATATAGTTTTATCATGACAAGTTACAGATCAAGTTCAAATTTTGGTCGGTCTGATGATTTTGTGCTGAGTTATGGTCCTTGGACTTAGAAAATTCACTCAAATTATCAGTTTTCCACTCTTTTTTTCATCATGTTTGAAGATATTGACTTGATATTTGTTATATAGTTTACACCATGACAAGTTATAGATCAAGTTAGCATTTTGTTCCAATACAATGAATTCTTTACCGGTAGGGGACTATGTATTGCCATGCAATACTCTCAGAATGCTTGTTTCTTCTCTCTCTCACTAATGACAAAATTGGCAGGTTACATGTTACCTCTGTATGAATTTGCTGATCGGTATAATGCATGCAAAAAACACACTACAATTTATTCAGAGATAAAGAGAATTTGAACTACATAAACTTTGTTAACTTTAAACTTTGATATGAAATTGATAATCAATATATACTAGGAAGACAAGCTAAAATATCAGAAGCTGTCAATGGAAATTCATGTGAAAATTGGCGGTTTTGAAAATTTTTACAGGGGTAAAACAGCATTTATAAAAGAACATTTATTCAAATATACGTGGAGAAAAAAATACAGAACATTTTATAAGGTAAACAGAACCATTCTTCATGTTTATGTTTGGTAAAATGTTTTAACTTTTATGATGACGATACAAATATGCTTCGATATGCATTTCTGCTGGTACCTCTATTTCTTTGAGTTTGTTAGAATTCTTGAATATTATGGAATAGGCATGTGGAAAGTAAAGTTAGATTAAGATCAATATTCCGATAATCCATTTTTAGTTTGTAAGGCTTATGAACTTTTTATGCACCACCTAGGGGCGTTATGTTTTTCGGTCTGTGCATCCATTCATCCGTCTGTCCCGCTTCAGGTTAAAGTTTTTGGTCAAGGTAGTTTTTGATGAAGTTGAAGTCCAATCAATTTGAAACTTAGTACACATGTTCCCTATGATATGATCTTTCTGATTTTAATGCCAAATTAGAGTTTTGACCCCAATTTCATGGTCCATTGAACATAGAAAATGATAGTGCGAGTGGGGGCATCCGTGTACTATGGACACATTCTTGTTTACATTTACTTTATTATTTTTATTTTATTTGCTACTAAAGATTGGCTTTGAAAATATGGTAATAGATCTACATAAGTTTTTAGTTATTTAATATTACATGATAATTGTACTTTATAGTAAGATTATCTCCCTTATTAAGAATATTTTTTTAAAATTTATAGTTAAATATAAATTTCATAATTTTACCCACTAAAACACAAGATGTTTCCAGAGATGTCTCCCCTTGTAAATCTATTCCAATTGAAAATAATCAGATAGTTTAAAACTCTTTAATTGAAATCTTAAGTCTTTCGTATGATGAAATTTCAGAAAAAAACATTTTCTTGCCAATTTTATAGATAAGTGGAATACAACATGTCACAAATTATACTTTGCAGAAAGATGTTTCTCAGGTTCCTTTACATGCTTAGAGTTAAGTTCAATACATGTATTATAAATCCCTCAACTACATGCAATCTAAAAATCTTTTAATGTTCAGTCTTTAATATTAAATTTGGTTAAAACTGAATAATTTTTCAATTGTAGAGAATCTACTTCCAGTATGATACAGATAATATAGGATCTTTTAGTTGTTTTGAATTAAGGAGGGCACTTGGAGCAGCAGGTAAATTATATATAGATGTTATATAGATCAATTTTATAAGCAGTTTGTTCTGTTTGAGCTTGTATATAGTGTATATCTTTAATATGAATTTATGCATTAAGATGTCATGAAATAATTGTATTGTTCTAAATACTCTTTACATAAAACTTAACAATTTATCAAAAGTGATATGATTGAGACTGGTAGTAATTTGTATTGTTTGTAAGGATTTAGGAGTAATATGTATAGTTTGTAAGGATTTAGGAGTAATTTGTATAGATTGTAAGGATTTAGGAGTAATTTGTATTGTTTGTAAGGATTTAGGAGTAATTTGTATTGTTTGTAAGGATGTAGGAGTAATTTGTATTGTTTGAAAGGATTTAGGAGTAGTTTGTATTGTTTGAAAGGATTTAGGAGTAGTTTGTATTGTTTGTAAGGATTTAGGAATAATTTGTATTGTTTGTAAGGATTTAGGAGTAATTTGTATAGTTTGTAAGGATTTAGGAGTAATTTGTATAGATTGTAAGAATTTAGGGGTAATTTGTATAGTTTGTAAGGATTTAGGAGTAATTTGTATTGTTTGTAAGGATTTAGGAGTAATTTGTATTGTTTGAAAGGATTTAGGAGTAGTTAATTGTAGTTTGTATTGTTTGTAAGGATTTAGGAATAATTTGTATTGTTTGTAAGGATTTAGGAGTAATTTGTATAGTTTGTAAGGATTTAAGAGTAATTTGTATTGTTTGTAAGGATGTAGGAGTAATTTGTATTGTTTGAAAGGATTTAGGAGTAATTTGTATTGTTTGTAAGGATGTAGGAGTAATTTGTATTGTTTGTAAGGATGTAGGAGTAATTTGTATTGTTTGAAAGGATTTAGGAGTAATTTGTATTGTTTGTAAGGATTTAGGAGTAGTTTGTATAGTTTGTAAGAATTTAGGAGTAATTTGTATTGTTTGTAAGGATTTATGGGTAATTTGTATAGTATGTAAGGATTTAGAACTGGTCACATGTTGTACAACCTATCTAGAAACAAAATCTAGGGATAAAAGTACTTTGAAAATATTATAATTTTTGCTGTTTTTTTCCAGGTTTTACAATAAACAACAGTTCTATGCAAGCTTTGATATTTAAGTATTCTAATGAGAAATGTCATATAGACTTTGATGGTTTCCTTTCCTGTTTGTCTAAGCTGACAAAATTGTTTAGTAAGTATGAATATGACATTATTTTTGAAAAACAAAATCATCTGGATATTCAGATAAATTGAAGACAATATGACATAGTTCTGCCATTATAATTACAAGGAAACTCATCGTAGTTTCATTTGGACATAAGGTGAAAGAATATAAAAAAGTTGTCAACTCATAAATTATTGCCATGTAAGGTTGGCGTTGGCAATGATAGATTAAATGAAAATAAGATATAATAAAAACTCTCATTCATAATTTCAGTAATGATTTTCCTTCATAAAATTTTTGCAATCTCATTATTATATTACACAATTATGCCAGTGGTCAAGGATCAGCTATAATATATGCACACTTTAATTTCTGAATTTACAATATTTAAATTTTTATGCCCCTGCGACAAAATTACCTAGTGACAAAATGTCTAAGGGCATATTAATTTATCCCTGTCCATTTGTCTGTCTAGATATACATGTAGATACATGGTTTGTCCGGCTATCTCCTACATTTGCCAGGTATTTAGACTTAGTCATTTTTTTTGGTACTAAAAGTCAGAAAGGGTGGATGTTAGATATTCACAAAAACCGGTAGATGGACTTCTTTTCCTTCTCACTTGCTATATAATTGAAAACTTGGGTTGTACTACTACAATTTAATATCCCTAGTGCTTGAATAGATATGATTTTTCAGTATTGTCAAATATTTGATCAATACCTTGTTGACCACTGGAAATAGAAAGTTGAACTTGGTGACTACTAAAACTGGAGAGTTGAAACCTTTTGGCTGTACATTCAATCCTGCAAATGTAGACATTCAGAACAAAAATAAAAGATAGATCATCGTACTACTTATCACAAATTTAGTAAATTTGTAGATTATTGCAACTTGTTTCAGGATTATTTCTTAATTTTGACATCAATTTTGTGTTCACTTACTCCTTCAGTTGCTGAATCAAGTTACATATAGGGAAGGGAGGGTATTTATATCGATAGACACATTCTTATTTAATTTATTGTTATCTTTTTCATAAATATTAAATGTAATACCGGTATTTATTGAAAATGTTTTTGTAGGAAATCTTTTTGATTGATAATTGACAATAATTAATATATTTCAGATGACTTCAACAATATGAAACAGAATGGCCAGATTACGTTAAGCATTGATCAAGTAAGTAATGTTTAATAATTTTATTCAGTGAATGTAGCAGACACACTCAGAAATTTTAAAGTAAATTATCTACTGATGAACAATATTTGTATAAAAAAGCTTAAACACCGGCTTTGTACTCGGGTCAGGTTTATGAATTTTATTCAGATGTTCAGACTTCTTGGGTTTTTTCCTACGATACAGGGTAAAATATTTTGCCCCTTATCACCCTCTTTTCTTTTCATAGAAGACTTCAATAGCTCTTAAAAAGGTCATTACCAAAATTTAAGCAGATTCTAGATTTTTTTCTTACCATTTAAGACCCAAATAAGGCCAATGCTAAATATATGGCAAAAGTCCGAGTCAGCCTTTTCCTGCCAATATTTAAAAATCGAATATCTCAAAAAGGAGTTCCATAACCTATCAATATTTTAGCTTATTTTGTTCCTTTACTAATAATGATCTTCTGACTTATAGCAATGTATAGTATCAATTTTAAATTCCAGATTTTTTTTAATTTCACCTAACTATATCTTTAATAGAACAATTGGTTACACTTTTAATTTTGAAATAGCTGTCATAGTTATGAAGAACAGCCTCAATATTTGAGTAGTATCAATTTCTCTTTTGTGTTTTAAGTCTATGATTTAATACAGAAGAATTTAAATCAGTTAAAAAATTCTTCATAGAAGATGTTCAAATTGAAACAGTCAATTTACTCCACATGCCAACTGTGACTTTATTTCCTGACTTCCTGCCGACACTGAACTTTGAATCTCAACATTAAACAATGTCTCCCTGTTTAAGATGACTTTTTTTGAATAGCACAGAAAACATATTCATAGCCTTTAAAACAAATGTGGTGTTTGTCCTCACTGATTTGAATTTTACCAAAAAAGCAATTATGTTAATAGAACTCACCAATTTGAGCAATCAGATTTAAATACAAATCCTATGTCCACGCTTTGCTTACAAGGATCTGACAACTTTCTGTTCTACTTTCTGTATTCCATCAGCCAATGAAATGTCTGCTTCCAAATATTGACGGTGTGTATAATTACTACAACATTGTACAAAACCAGAGACTCCAAAAACATGCAAAAGATCTTCGAAACAAAGTTGGACGAAGTGTTTTCAGATCTTTGAGCCAATTTAAAAACTGTTCTTAAAATTTCTTATTCTTAGCACATCTTTAGGCAAAACATATAATTGATTTAGCAAAATTATTATCATATCCCCCTCCAAATGCAAACTGATATTTTAAAAGTAACCTATAATTTAGGATTGCATGGGCTTTATGTTAATTTAGCCAAAGTATCCTCAAAATTGCCTATTGACATATTTCCTTATAGGGTCACTTTAATAAAGCAGGGAAATTGTGTCATAAGACCAGCTTAAAATTTAATATGACAATTTTTTCCTCATTTCAGTTTATACAGAAATCATTCCTATCATGACACTAGGAGATGTAAGGATGTAGTCTTGGGTTATACTGAAGGAAAGCTTCACAACAATGAGATGTTGTCAGTTCATTTACCATACAAATCACTTAATACACAGTCTCATAGCCTACCAGCTTTAGCCATTACAGTCATTTGAGTGAACACTTACAATGTTTGAACAAAATAGCACTTGCAATCACTGTAGAATTCTTATTGTCTCGCCTTGACAGAGTCAAAAAGCAAGACTTAGGTATGCTGTTTTCGCTGGCAGTGCCTCATTGGTGGCATCAACAATTTTGATGAAGTTTGTGATTAGGACAGTTTAAGGGGAACCACTTATGATAAGTTAATGATGATATTTAGTATGCAGTTGAATTAGCATTGACCACAGAAAGTATTTGGCTCTGTACCTTCAGTTATGGTTTATTGGCATCGAATATTTTGCCTAATTTACATGTAAAAGTACAGCTATTTTTAATTTCAACAGTTGCATTTTACTCTCAAAATAACATACAGGTGAGACATATCTCTATGTCAACAGTTTATTTACTAATTGATGAGTAGGATGACATGCTTAAGTCAGTAATCTGATGTTCAGTAGTTGTCGTTTGTTGATGTGGTTCATAAGTGTTTCTCGTTTCTCGTTTTTTATACAGATTAGAACATTGGTTTTCCCGTTTGAATGGTTTTACACTAGTAATTTTTGGGGCCCTTTATAGCTTGCTGTTTGGTGTGTGAGCCAAGGCTCTGTGTTGAAGACCGTACTTTGACTTATAAATGGTTTACTTTTATAAATTTTGACTTGGATGGAGAGTTGTCTCATTGGCACTCATACCACATCTTCTTATATCTATTAAATTGTAATTTTGGATATAGGGGATTTTATAAAAGTGGGATCTTGGAAAAAGAAGGAAAAAAATTACAAAAAATGGACATTATGAATAAGGTTGAAAAAGGGTGAGAACAAAAGCAATCAAAAACTAAAAGTTGAAGAAAAAAAGAAAACACTATGGCCAAATGAAAAATAGACCAACAACAGTCTGCAAAAGACAAAAGATTCATCAACACGAATCAGGTGCTCCAGAAGGGTCAGAAGTTCATTGTGATCAATATTGTTGTGAAAAGACAATTGTTTTTACTTCTCTCAGGGTTGATCATCTCAGTTTGATGTTTTAATGATCCATTACATCCATTTATTATTGTAAAATTGTATATATTTGTAATATACTGTAAATCTATATTTATATACGTCTGCAAATTACAATATCCAGTATAGATGATATGGGTTATTTTTTAGAATATATTGTTTATATATAAAGTTGTTAAATTATATATTTATAATTTTTGTACTTGAATGTTTTGTGGTGACATTCCCTCCATTAAGTGTGGTTAAACGGCAGCAGGTTGTGAATATCTATTTTGTTGTTTGTTCGTGTGTTTTTTAATTCACTGTTAACAAATGTTGCACTGTACATATATATTTATATAATTATAATAACTTTTATGAGGCTACATCAAATTGATTTGTTATTCTTGTTTACTTTTTGGAAATGTTTTTTTTTTTTTAATAAATAATAAATATGTATATACAATTATATTCTGCAAATGCCTTGATGCAATTTGCACTTATTTTTGATAATTTGAAAAGACATGAAGGATTACTGGTAATAATCAACTTGTACAATAAATAAAATTCAGATTTATTTTTTTTAATTTTCTTAAGATATGAAATATTATGCCATTTGTTGTCGTAGAATTGTTTAAGTGGGGGAATTAAATTAAGATTTTCAAGTTGCAAATATTTGTTTCATAAAAATTGAACAAAATTCAATTTATTTGATGTGAAAGCTACTTTCCATTTATTATTCATCTATTGTTCTGAATATTTATTTACCCTTTATAACATTTAATTACAAGGCCAATTACTTTTATACGATCGCAAAAAAATTTTGTGGTCGTATATTGGTATGACGTTGGCGTCGTCGTCGTCCGAAGACACATTGGTTTTCGCACTCTAACTTTAGTTTAAGTGAATGGATCTCTATGAAATTTTACCATAAGGTTCAATACCACAAAAGGAAGGTTGGGATTGATTTTGGGGGTTATGGTACCAACAGTTAAGGAATTAGGGGCCAAAAATAAGCATTTTTGTAACTTCCAGACATAACTTGTGTGTTAGTGTATGGATCTCTCTGACATTTTTGTTCCATATCACAAAGGGAATGCTGGGATTGATTTTGGGAGTAATTGCCTCAAAATTTTAGGAATTAGGGGCCAAAAAAGGGGCAAAAAACAAGCATTTTTCTAGTTTCATGACAATAACTTGTGTGTAAGTCTATGGATCTTTCTGAAATTGTACTACAAGGTTCCATATCACAAAGGGAAAGCTGGAATTGAGTTTGGGGGTAATTGCTCAAAACGTTTAGGAAAAAGGGGCCAAAAAGGGCCAAAAATAAGCATTATTCTAGTTTCCAGACAATAACTTGTGTTCAAGTGTATGGATCTCTCTGAAATTGTACTGCAAGGTACCATACCACAAAGGGAAGGCTGGGATTGATTTTGGGGGTAATTGCCTCAAAATTTTAGGAATTAGGGGCCAAAAAGTGGCAAAAAACAAGCATTTTTCTAGTTTCAGGACACTAACTTGTGTGTAAGTGTATGGATCTTTATGAAATTGTACTACAAGGTTCCATATCACAAAGGGAAAGCTGGGTTTGAGTTTGGGGGTAATTGCCATAAACGTTTAGGAATAAGGGGCCAAAAAGGGGCCAAAAAACAAGCATTTTTCTAGTTTCCAGACAATAACTTGTGTTCAAGTGTATGGATCTCTCTGAAATTGTATTGCAAGGTACCATACCACAAAGGGAAGGCTGGGATTGAGTTTGGGGGTGATGAATCATAAGGGGGTTCAAAAAATTTGGGGGGGATTTTTTTTCCCTGTTTTTCCTTTTTTTTTTCTTTAAAATTTTCCATTTTAAATTGGTTATTTCTGATTTATATATAAAAGCAAATAATAATGATATGGTTTGAATAGGTAAATTAAAAATTTATAAGTTCTTAGACCACATTCATTCTGTGTCAGAAACCTATGCTGTGTCAAATATTTAATCACAATCCAAATTCAGTGTGTATCAAGCTTGAATGTTGTGTCCATACTTGCCCCAACTGTTCAGGGTTCGACCTCTGTGGTCGTATCAAGCTGCGCCCAGCGGAGCATTTTATTATATAATTAAAATGCTTTTTAAGAAATGCTGGTATGATGTGGTCAGAAAGCGCTTCTAGTAAATGATACTCTTTTTCTTAAATCCTACCCGTTATTGAATAGGCGAAAACTACAGATTGAGGAAAAGTTTTGACTTTCATTATAAAAAAAAATGTTTAAAACATCTACGCAAATATTTGTGTTTTATATCGTTTTTCTATTTGTTCTGTTACTATATATTTTAATTGTAAAGACTTTTAGCTCACCTGGATTAAAGAGCTGTTGGGAGCTATTGCCATTACTTGTCATCATTCCTTAAAGGCTTTTTTTTTCCTCTGGAATTATTGGTCCAAGTCAACAAAATTTTGTATTATGGCCCTTTGGTGGTTTCAAATCTGTATGCAGCAGACATGCCATCCCATCTTACAATAAGGACATTAAAGCATTTGTTTTACTGAGGCATTTTGACATTTCTGATGAAATGGCATTACCAACTGAATCCAGAATTTTGAGGAATGGTTGTCTCTAAATTGGTCCGATCAAAGTCATGTCTGGAAAATTGGCCAGAGTCCGTGTTTGAAGAAGCCAGTTTTTAAAATTGCCTGAAATAATTGATAAAATTGATATAAACTCTATTAGAATGGCCCTTTGGTGGTCCTCTCTAAAACCATAATTGACAGCTCTGCCTATTATCCAAGACAAGAGCTACTGGTACTCATAGGCTGAAACATTTTTAACATCTCTGAAACTTAGCCAACTCCAAACCAACTTTGGTCTCCTTTCAAAATCATTATTACAAATTCAGTATGTCATACAGCATAGATTATAGATCTTCTAATTGACATAGACAAATTTAAGGGGAGTCTTTTTATGAAAAATTGTTGTTGCCTATTGCCGATTGAAAACTAGTGCAAAAGATAGCAAACATTTATTTTTTTTAACATGACAGTTGAGCAATACATAGAATTTGTTGAAAGTTGATTACTATATTTTAAAATGGATTGAAGCAATTACTGAAAATTTTATTCAAAATATAGAACTTTCTTTACTGATTTTGGTGAAGATGTTGGCCCTTTTTAAGATGGATATTTACAGTTATCCTTTAATTGTAAAAAGATGTAATGTTATCAAATCTGGCATGCATAAATGAGAGAAAATACAAATGAACTGAACAAGTGGACTGGTTTTAATTTGACCTTGAAATCTTAATTCTATTGTTTATTTTAGTTTTTATTTGGTTCTCTAATACAATGCATGTTGAGAATATTATATATTACTTTTATGTTTTTTCTGTTATTATGTTTTAAATTTTCATTTGATGACTTCTGATCCAGTAACACATCAGGAGAGCAAAAGATCAAAAGATAATTCCCTAGTTGTATGATATCATGCAGAGTCAAAGGCACTTTTATTCTATAATAGGCAGCGAGTTTATCACCTTACATCATTTTCTTGCCAGAAATAGATCAATTTTACCATTAAACATTAATATCATTGTAGATTTAGTTGACGATACAGTTAAAATGACTTGAAATTACTTTAACAGTATGAAAGGTTTAAGAAAGCTACTTATTACAATGTTAACATATCGCTATAAATCATACAAATTGTACAAAAATAGGGCAAAATATGATTATGCAAAATTGAATTAGCAGCAATGGTGCTTTTTATTGTCTGTTTACTCAAATATTATTTTAATATTTATTAGACATAGAATATATCAATTGATAAGTATAGTTCCATTGAAAAATTTTGTTGAAAAAGGAGATAACTTATGAACAAAAAAAAACATCAGAATGAATTAGCTTCTAAAACTATAAACTCAGCACTACAAAAGAAATTTATTTTTATATTTTGATATTTAAATGGTATTTACTTAAAGTATCCTTAAAGGGGACAGACAGTTTAGTAGTGCAACAATATCACATATCACTGGTATTAGTTTGTGTCTTACATGGAGTGCTACTTGATAAATGGAAGTTTTTATTTAAACTTCCATTTGTTTTATTTACGAAATGGCAGTTATAATTTCATAATCATAAAAATTACGAACTATTTTCATTTATCAAATGATTTGTAATAGATATTGTGTTTATAATACTTGTTTGTAGAACATAATTATAGACTGGTTGTTTTTACTTAACTTTTTCTGTGAATTAAAATGTAACATGTGATCAACAGTATATTGTTTTTCATGACCTTTTTATAAACATTTGTGTTTGGTATGACCTTGGGATTTCGTAAAAATCTCACAGATTGAAAATTCCATGAAAGGTCTTATCTTTGACATCTAAACTGTCTGACGTTATAGGTACAGTTATAGTGTCAAAGTTAAACACAAGACATTTTTTTTTTGGTTGCTTTGTGTACCCTTTACAATTGAATAAATTTGGCCAAGAGGATATTTTTAGATGCAAAATGTGGTTGTTATGTTTATCAATGAAGAAATCCCATGTTACCTATTAAATTCCAGAATTCAAAATGGTGGCTTCTTGTTGCTACAGATCGATAAGATTGAGAAATTTACTTTTGTTGTTTTCTCATCAGATCCAACAAATGTTAAAAATTGTACTAAAACTAAAGTTGCAACTACTATGACACAGATGGTTTTTGCTGTTAAGTTTCTGTTGTTTTGAAATTGATGTTTCTGAACTTTTCTTTTATACGACTACAAATTTTTTGCAGGCATATAATATTTAATCACAATTCAAATTTAGAGCTGTATTGCACAATTAATGGAAATTGTAAGTAGATTCAGAGTTAAAAATAGATACATCATCAAATTCTAATTTTAGAGAAGAAATCATGTATAAATATAGTTTGAAATTTACTGTTCATTATAAGATATTTTGAAAAAAAGGTAACTTTGTAGATTTTTTTAAAGACATTGAACTAATGATGAATGATATTTTGGATATTGTTTTTTTTCATTTATTTTATATTTTATAAAACTTTTGAAGAACTTTGTGGAAGGTAGGTTTGTTATTCTGTATAAATTTATTTTTAGAATGCTATATATATACATGTATATATATATTTTTATGAAGCGAACCCCTTTAAAAAGTTGGCTTATATTGTCCATTAATAAATAAATAAATAAAATTCTTGGTGTACTTTGATATGATGAATCTAACCATGTATTTAGATTTTGGATATTGGACCATAATAGGTAAAAGTCCAATTTCAAATCTTTCAGTCTTTGAACATGTTTTCTGTGTCAAAAACCTATGCTGTGTCAAATATTAAATCACAATCCAAATTCAGATAGTAGTGTCCAGTGTGGACCCAACTGTACAGTGTGCAACCTCTGCGGTCGTATCAAGCTCACTCAGCAGAGCATTTTATTTATCAAAGCACTGAGATTTCATAATGAGGATTCTTGATGCATACTTGAAGAATTCATGTAAGATCACTTATAACAATGTCTACAATATACTTATACAAGAAATCCTTTGTTCAGCACAATCTTCTGTCCTCATTGATTTTATTCTCCAAATAAAACACCCCTGCCCTCATTTAATAATTGGACAATTTGAGAATTTAAGACTCTCCAATAAGTTGGATGGACTTAAATCTGTTTTGCTTGTGTAGAAATGTGTTGTCTTTTTGATAAAGTGATATTATCTCCAAATATTCCATGACCGTGTGTTTTGTTATTCCACAATGTGGATACAGTTTGTTTTTTTTGTTTCAGGGATTTGACTAAGTACAAAATACCAACAATATAAAGTTATAAACACACAACAAGTGATTGGAAGGTAACCAACTCTTTAAAAAAAAAAAATTGTCGTTTCAATCAATTTTGAAATCTACAAAAATTGAGACCCCAAAAAGTAAAAATGACAAAGTATCCTTATTTTTATTTCAAGTATGGTATTCAGGTTGGTTATTTGCTATGATAATTAGGTTTGAAAGTGAATTTAATTTTAACTTAGTGTAAACAAAGTAACACATTTTTGTGTAAGTGTGTGTTAGTGTACGGTATATGTGAGCTACATATTAACTTGGATGTTTCTGTGAGTTGCATGTTAACACTTTATGATATTGTAAGTAGCTTGTTAATCCTAGATGTTTTTGTGAGTTACATGTTAACAATATATGTGTGTGAGATGCATGTTAACACATTGCTATTGTGTCAGTTACATGTTATTCCTAGATGTTTTTGTAAGTCACATGTTAATAATATATGTGTGTGAGATGCATGTTAACACATTGTTATTGTGTCAGTTACATGTTAATCCTAGATGTTTTCATGTGTTTCATGTTACTGAGGGGTGTTATGAGTTTCATGTTAACACTGAATGTTTGTGTAAGATACTTGTTAACACTTTATGAATATGTAAGTTGCATGTTAAACACTTTAAGAATATGTAAGTTGCATGTTAATCCTAGATGTTCTTGTGTGTTAAATGTTACAGCTAGATGTTCAGTTGAGTGACATGTTAACACTTAATGTTTCCATTAGTTATTTAGATATGATAAGTAATGGCATTGGTATTGCATCTTTACATGTTATATTTATTAAAACAATATAAAATACTAACAACATAGTCAGTTCTTATAGGCATTCTGAAGATAAGAAAACTTAGACAAACTACAAAGCACAAACAGAACTTAACAAAACACTATTGACAGCATCTGAATATACATGCTACATGTTTTGTTGCTAAAGAGTGCAGATTTAACTTAATGCTTATTTGAGATATATATTGCGATAATTGAAATGAGCTCCAGAAAATCAGTTTTCCATATATTACCAGGCTAACATTGCAGACATTAGACTATAGACAATAATGTCATTTTGATTCCTTTGTCACCAATTTGAGTATTTCAAATAACAGGACTGTTTTTTGTGTAACCTGCAACAATGTAAGACATAGGGATGCTAATTCGGAGGCAGCAACAGAGTAAACCATTTGTATAAAGCTTTTTAAATTTCAAAAGGTAAAGGACCTGGATACGTCATATCTTGTATAAAGATGTCTGATGTTCTGAATCGTCGGGCATATGTTAATTGATTTCCTTGTTCTCATTTTCTTGGTTCAGTGAATGCTTAAAAGACTTAAGTTAAATTTTCATGTGACTTTCTATCTTATGACTAATATGACAACTAGATTTGATATATAGAATCATTGCCAGGTATACATGTCTACCAGACTTGGTTCTCTTGACCATGACCTTATTTCATGGATCACTGATCTATGTTAAATTCTCGTGGTTAGGTCTATATCTCAGATGTTTTAAACAATAGTTCTACTATATTTGGTTTATGGAATAATTGTAAGATGGTACATGTCCATTTGGCAGGGTTCATCTGACCTTGGCCTAATTTTTATGGTTCATTGGTCAATGGGAAGTTTGCATTATTAGTTCCGTTTCTCAGCTACTAGCAATAATAGGTCAACTATCATTGATGTATAGAATGATTGTAAAGTGTGCATGTCCATCTTGCAGTGTTCATGTGACCTTCACCTTATTTTCATGGCTCATTAGTCAACATAAAATTTTCATTTCTCAGATGCTCAAAGCAATATGCTAACTGTATTTAGTGCATGGAATGATTGTAAGGTGTACATGAGGATAGTTTTCACATTTTTACTGTCCAGTTTAATTATGTATACAATGTCCCATATTCATTTGTATTTTTTTGTTTCAGCTCAAAAATTGAAAGCACATTTTGTAAGTTTTAAGCAATATGAATGCAACTCATTTGCAAGATTGATTGATTGGTTGATTGGTGTTTTAATGCTCCTTTTAGCACTATTGTGCTATTTCGTGGCGTTCAGTTTTTTTTTGTATAAAGGAAGCCGGAGTGCCCGGAGAGAACCACCGACCTTAGGTAGGAAAACTGACAATCCTAGTTAATTAAGATTGGAGTCGAGTGCACCTGCCACGTACGGGATTCGAACTCACAACCTCAGTATTGACAGGCTAGTGATATAGTAGTACGACTACTTCGGCCACCGGCCCCTCATTTACAAGAAGCATGGAAGCACTTGTTAAAAACATACACTATAAAATTGAGAATGGAAATGGGGAATGTGTCAAAGAGACAACGACCCGACCATAGAGCAGACAACAGCCGAAGGCCACCAATGGGTCTTCAATGCAGCGAGAAACTCCCGCACCCGGAGGCGTCCTTCAGCTGGCCCCTAAACAAATATGTATACTAGTTCAGTGATAATGGACGTCATACTAAACTCCAAATTATACACAGGAAACTAAAATTAAAAATGATACAAGACTAACAAAGGCCAGAGGCTCCTGACTTGGGACAGGCGCAAAAATGCTGCGGGGTTAAACATGTTTTTTTTAAACCGTACGCACAGTAAAACTCAGTATAAGAGAAGTCCGAGTCCGATGTCAGAATAGGAAACAAAAGAAAATAAACAAAATGACAATAATACATAAGTAACAACAGACTACTAGCAGTTACTGACATGCCAGCTCCAGACCTCAATTAAACTGATTGAAAGATTACGTCTTCATCATATGAATATCAGGCACAATCCCTCCTGTTAGGGGTTTAGTATTATACCGTCATAAAATATATGAGAAGAACATAACCCGTGTCATGCCAACAACTGGTTTTAGAATAAATGTGTTTAATTCCGATGCAAAGACCCTATAAGTGAATCAATATTAAAGCCAAAATATGCAATCTTTAATGACCTGACAACAGTATCGTAACTATATCCCTTCTTAATAAGTCTGTTTAAAGGGTTTGTTAGCTTTTGGGGTGAATACTGACATTTTTGTGCTTTGTAAAGAATATTACCATAAAAGATTGGATGTGAAATACCCGAACGTATAAGATGTCTGCATGTTGAGTTATATTTACGAATGATGTCCTTGTACCGATGATAAAATTTAGTAAATGTTTTGACTAGTTTATGATATAAAACCCCGGTGTAATAATTTTTCAGTAGTGCATAAATTTCTCTCGCTAAAATCTAATACGTTGTTACATACACGAGCGAATCGTACAAGTTGAGATATATAAACACCATAAGATGGTGAAAAGGGAACGTCACCATCTAAAAATGGATAATTAACGATAGGAAATGAAAAATCATCTCTTTTATCATAAATTTTTGTATTTAGCTTCCCGTTAATGATATAGATATCAAGATCGAGGAAAGGACAGTGGTCATTGTTAGTATTAGCTTTATTTAAAGTAAGTTCAACAGGATAAATTTCTTTAGTATACATACTGAAGTCGTCATTATTGAGAGCCAATATATCATCCAAATATCTAAAAGTATTGTTAAATTTTTGTATCAGATGTTGTTTCGATGGGTCTTTGCTGATTTTAGTCATAAATTGTAACTCATAACAATACAAAAACAGGTCCGCAATAAGTGGTGCACAGTTAGTCCCCATTGGAATTCCGATAACTTGACGATATACGGAATCTCCAAAGCGAACAAAAATGTTATCAAGTAAAACTTCAAGGGCAGATATAGTATCAAAGCATGTCCAATTGACATATTTCTTTTGTTTGTTGCTACTAAAAAATGACCTAAAAGAGTTTGACATATGTATTAGCATTCCGACTTTTTAAATGCCCATTTAATTAGGTGTGTGAATTTTTTCTTAATAAGAATATGAGGCAAAGTGGTATATAGGGTAGAAAAATCAAAACTTTGAACAGATTCAAAATCACCAATATATGCATGTAATTTATCAAGTACTTCCAATGAGTTTTTGACACTCCAAAAGTAATTAATTCCACTATGTCACCTGCTTTCTTGTCGTTCTACACACAAAAAAATCTCTCAATATTATGCTCAATGAATTATTATCGTATTGATTTGATATTAATTGATTTACCATATATATTAATTGTGGAACGTGCCTCAAAATTGTAACCTGTTTTTATACGATATGAAAGTTTGTAACAACACCCCATGGTGTACGCTTTAGCCAATAGAAAATCACATATATTAAATAAAATAAAGACTACTATATTAATGTATAAGAATGATGTGGATAATGGGACGTGTTAAGTAAAGTTTATGTTTAAAAAGAAAATGTACTCCGGAAACCATCATATATTAAGAACTATCTGCCTTATTTCAAGGAACTGTAGATACTTTGGATTCGTTAAGTTTTGTGAGTATCAATTTCCTGAAATGATGAAATTAGTTAACGTATTTTCCTAGGATACTTGATATCATGGTTTTGTCAAAGTCTGTTTACAATCCTAGAAAATGTGTGCTACAATTTTCGAATCACCTTTACCAAAGATATTCATTGAAATTGGTATTACACAAATAAATATAAATCCAGAGTGGTCAATGTCACAGATTGTTGTTTGATTTTTCATACAACTTTTATATAATAAGCTTATATTGAAAATTTAACGAGGTGGTATTCAAAATATAATACAAAAATATTCTTTTTTTATTTTATGATGACAAATTCATGTCGCCTTTTAAATAAGAAAAAAAAACATTAAAGAACTCGATAGAAAGCCAATATAAAACATGTTTCCGTTCAATGTAGCCTAGAATTGTCACTAATATTGGGATAAAAAAAGGTAAAATGAATACCTTGTAAGAAATGTAAATTTACACTACAAACAAAACATATATTCACTCCAGTGGCTTATTCAGGATAGGGCGTAGAGGGTTTACGCCCCCTTTGATCGCCAAAATAAATCTAAAATCTCGTGTTTTTTTTCACAATTTATATGAATTTTTAGCATAAAATCGTTCAAATAATTTTTCACCTCGCTCTGCACGACCGTATCTATTACGTTTTTTGGGAAGTACAAATTAAAAAAATCCTGGATCCGTAACAGATTTACCGCCTAAAGCTTTTTGCACGTATTTGCAAGATGGACCTCTTCATTCTAAAATGGATTTGTATCTTTATCCTCGACACAATGATAACCACATTGAATGATATATACATTCAGATTTTTGTCTAGCGGAAATCAATTTGCTGCAAGATGTCGCCATTTTTGAGTGTAAAAGGGGGGTTTTGATTTAAACATGAATAATTGTCTTGGTGAAATTTAAAGATTTATACACATATAGGTGTTAAAATTAGTATGTAATTTGCACATTTTATTAATTGAATTAAATTCATTTACAAGGTTTAAAAAGGGGATCAAAAGTCATTTTGAACGTCTTTCCTTAAAACCGCCCCTCTCGTAATTTGTGCGTGTACTAAATAACAAATATGATAACGAAATGAACACAATTTTAATAGTCTGGTGAAAATGAGGACGTTCGTAGTATTTATGTTGGTCCTAGGATATAATTTTAATTTTTCACAAGGTTACAGCGGTGGAGTCGCTCTTACTTTCGAACTTGAGGATAAAGAAAAAAGCTGTTTTACTGAAACTTTTCCAGGAGGGAAGCGTTATGTGTTTTCATACCAAGTTATAAAAGGAGGCAACCAGGATGTTGACGCATGGGTCGTTTCACCGAACGGGAAAATTCTCTATAAAGAACAAAGAAAAGAGGGAGATGAATTCATATTTGACCCATCAAAAGGAGATTTCCAATTCTGTTTCGGCAATCAGTTTTCTACAATAAGTCACAAAACAATCTTTTTCGATATAAGTCCAGAGGATCCGGATTCTTTAGCCGTGGAAGCAGGCGATAAAACACCGACAGTTCAGACTCTAACGGAAGCGGCGTGTGATGAAATACATTATGCCATGAGAGGAGTTGTAGAACACCAGAGAGACTATAGACTCAAAGAGGCCATCGGTCGCCATGTAGCGGAGGGACTGAACAACCGAGTATTTTGGTGGTCTATAGCTCAAGCTTTCATCTTGCTAGTAATAGGATTTGGACAGGTCTTTATACTTAAAACATTCTTCACTGAAAAATTACCAACACAAAATAAACCCCTAGAAACATCAACTTAGAATATTCTAACAATTCCGTATTACCATCCTTACAATTATGAGAAAATCAAATAAGTTGGAAGTTATCATAAGTCCAAAAAGTGACAGTATACTTAAAGATTGTTGATACATTGTGTTAAAAACATTTCTAACTGCATAGTACTTATTTTGATTATAAATTTTATCTTTTTTTCATTTAACGTACGTCTTTTTATTCTTTGTGTAAAAAAACCAAACATAGTATGAATAAGAAAAACAAAATAAACCACCAATGAGGATAATTGCTGAGGTTAATTAGGGAGGTTTGATGCAAGCTCGTGTGGCGGATCTAACCACTTTTGAAGGACGGGGTTTTTTTTTCTCGATTTTCCAGATTCTGATATCAAGTTTGCCTATTTTAAATGATTTAAAAATCCAAAGAAAGTGGGTTCAGACCCCGACTCTTCGTCCTTAAGAATTTGCAACTATTTAGTGCATAAAAGATAACTTCACAGCTGTTATCGATGTTGCCACATGTGCCAGATTTCAATTCAAAATATTTGTCAGTTGATTTCAAATTATCTTCTAAGTATATATCTTATTTCAGTTTATGTGCACATGTTCTAAAATTATTGATATATGTACTGAGTATTGATATTAGTTTAACAATTGGTGAATGGCTGTCATATTCTAAACTTGGTGCAGACACTTTGAAAATAACAGCGGTGAGCTGAACTACATTTGATGGCAAACCAACCCTCCCTCTAGTTCCAATTTATCTATGAATCTTGGACTCCTCAATCTGACTCTACTTATATTTTAGAAGATAGTAGAGTAAGATAATCTCAACCACGTTCTGAAATTTCTGTCTATTATATATCAATTAATCTTGAACTCGTTTACATGGTTCAAGGTCTGAATAATAAATGTCATGAGTTACATTTTTGTTATTATAAGAACATGTCAATCTGACAGGGTTCATCTGACTTTGATCAAATTTTTACGGTCTTTGATATGATCAAAGCCAAGTTTTCGTTATTAGGCCAGTTTCACTAATATAAGTATCTACAATAAAGCAACTGCAATTGATCTAAAAATCATTTGAATGTCAACCGTTCCGTCTGACAGATGTCATCTGACCTTGACCTCACTTTCATGGTCCAAAAATCATAGCTATACGATTTCGTAGTTATTGTGACGATTGTAACCGGTAATCATTTAAAAACAAACGTCCCATTCCTTAGACGTAGTAGGATCGATGGATAGTCGGTTAATTACTAGTACTCTAGGTATAGATCTACTATTTAGCATATAAAATTGTTGCAATATGTGTACATCCGCCTGACAGACATCAACTGACCTTGACAATTTTCATGGTTCGTTGCAAGGTTAACAATAATTTCAGCGATTATGTCAGTTACTTCAAACCTTCTACCTTACACATAATGAGGGGGTGGACAGGGGTATGGAACATGGTAATGAGGGGCCGGGAAGCGGGAACCGGGGGAAGAGGGGAGTAAAATAGGGATCCACTTCATTTGAACTTTAATGGGATAGTTGTCTCATTGGCAATCATACTACACATCTCCTTTTTTTTTTTATATGTCCATTTTAAGTTTGATACATGTAGCTACCCGATAAAAAATTATTCATTCATAATCAACTACGCAGGCGAGTCATTTCGGCGTACGTGCCCAATCTTGTTTTACATTATAAGACTATCCAATTAGAAGTTTGTTTAATGAATGTTACCCGGCACAGATGTTAAGCAAAAGAAAACGTTTTGTATTTCATAAGTCAAGAACATAATTAAATAAAATGATATTTATGATTTATTCCCAAATCGATTACGGTCACCGTTTGAACTGTAAAATACAGAACTATGAATACTCTGCATCCGTTTTGTTGCTGAACGGGAATCAATATGGTGCAAGATGTCACCTATTTTAATCAGTATCATAGAGTGTAAAACGGGGGTTTCTACTTTAGACATGAACTTATACCGGTTTTTTTTATAAAAAAAACTGTACACCTTTATATGGAAAGTATTTAAATGACATTTTATTTGCATATTTCTGTAATTTATTTGAATATAAAGAATTGAAAAAAGGAGATATATAATTTTTGACTCCCTTTCCTCAACAAAGTCGCCTCTCGCATAACAATTTGTGTATGCGGTATAGAACTAATATGACAAAGTAATGAACATAGATTTAATAACGGTAAAAATAAAGACGTTCGTAGTATTTTTCTTCATTTTGGGATGCAATGTCAAAATTTCACAAACTTTTTATAGCGGTGGTGTCGCTCTAACTTTCGAACTTGGGGATCAAGAGAAGAGCTGTTTTATTGAAACTTTTCCAGGAGGGAAGAGTTATTTGTTTTCATACCAAGTTATAAGGGGAGGTAACAACGATGTTGATGCTTGGATCGTTTCACCGAACGGGAAAATTCTTTATAAGGAACAACGAAAAGAAAGTGACGAATTCACCTTTGACCCATCAAAAGGAGATTTCCAATTTTGTTTCGGGAACCAGTTTTCTACAATCACCCATAAAGTCGTCTATTTTACCATTAGTCCACAAGGGATAGATTCTTTAGCTGTTGAAGCGGGCGATAAAAAACCGACTGCTCACACTTTATTACAGGATGCATGTGATGAAATTCACGCCGCTATGACGGAAGTATTTGAAAACCAAGTGGATTTCCGGCTGAAGGAGTCCATGGGACGCTATGTAGCTGAGGAACTAAACAATCGCGTAATGTGGTGGTCTATCGGACAAGCTTTGACCGTTATGATTATAGGGTTTGGACAGGTCTTTATACTTAAAACATTCTTCTCTGACAAGCTACCATCTCAAAATAAGCTTCTAGATACATAAACTTAGCATTAATTGTAGAACAGAATTATTTTCATAAAGATAGATTTTCATAAAAAGTCAGACATTGATGCCATTTTGTAGTGAGTTCGAGAAATGATTGTACTTAAACATTTGTATATTTAAGATATCTTAGTATAGTACTTTAGTAATTACTTTTATCATACATATAATGGTTGATCTAATTATTGTATTTGTATCAGTATTAACAGACCATGTTTTCCTACTTCATAAGAAGCTTGGTTCCACATTGGTGGCAGCTAATGTATTAATGAGTACCATATCTTATATTTTGCCTAACTTCATATTTGATAAAGCTGCTTTGAGAATATATCAATAAGATAAACTTCTGCGTGTTCTACATATTTATTTTTGTAGAATATGCTTCCGCTTTAGAGTCTGAATTTGAATTTGAGACTGGTTTAATTAATATTTAATATTTAATAGCCATATGAAGCCAATAAAATATTTATACTTTAAATAGTTAATCTGGTTAAGGAAAAGATGTCGCAGATGTTGATCTCTTAATTCATATATCAATTCATATTATATTGTTAACAATGCAGTGTGTTCTTATGATTAAGTTAACAATCCATGACAAATGAATCTTTTTGTAATAAATTTGAACTTTTGAGATTTTGTCAAATAGATATTTACATTTACAAAATGCATCTGCCATTCCTTGATATTAGATGCAATAATATGTGTTTTACAAAATGGTGTGATTTTTTTTTCTTTTTTCACTGCTCTATCTAAATATTTCTTCAAATGGTTTCACATGCTAACAGCAGTCATTTTTACGAGCAATTTTATCATTTTCTTCGTCAATCAATAATTGAGATTTTTGCCAAATAGAATATTTCATGATAATGGAACTTCTAAAAGGCGTTAAAATTTAAGGATCCAAGTTTGAAGATAACAGCCATATTCTCCTAATTGGAGGTGATTTTTAACACTACAGCTTCTCGACTTACTTGGAATCTTCAACACACAAAGTCACGTGTCAGTAAGTCTCTTATTTTCTGAAAACCGAACCTAAATGTAACATGAAGTATCATGGATCAGGGTGAACTATTATTGTACTTTCCAAAAGTGTTAGATATCTTGGTTCCCGGGTGTAACATATTCAGAGGTTAATAAAAATGTACTAGGTCAATGTAACCTTCTTTAGATTGTGAATTGTTGTATAGTATAGTACTCCTTCAGATATGTTTTACATAGACACGAAGAAGTATATACTGGCGTTTAGATCAACATTTTCCATAAAAACACAAAGTTGTTTTATGAAAGCCTTTGACAATTAAATAAACTTGCTTGCAATGCGGTGTAGGTTTTGCTCATTGTTGAAGGCCGTAAGGTGAATTATAGTTTCTAAGTTCTACGTCATTTTGGTCTCTGGTGGAGAGTTGTATCATTGGCAATCATACCACAACTTATCATTTTTATGTTTAGTTTAAACATGTTCTATTTGCAAAAGTAGCAAAAGGTATTGGACAAAAGTTATTACAACATTAGTGACATCCTCTCCCTTTGCAAATATATACACAAAATACATTATATAATGACAATCCATAATAGGAATGCATGTAATACAAACTGTAAACAAAAACAAAATAAAAAATACAATAAAATACAATGAACTATTAGATAAGGCTGGACTGGAGTTAAATATGAGAAAGGAGGACTTAAAATTTTTAATTGTATGTTCTAAATCTTTGTGTACCTATGATATAAGATTGTACTCACAAATTTCTTAACTTCGCTGAAATGTAAGTTCGCCGTCGCCAGCCAATAGAAGATCAATTGATATAGCATTTCTTTCTTATTTTAAAAGCAATATTTATCTTGCTTCATTGTGAAAAGGGCACTCAGAAAAATAGTGAATACAATCATCAACAGGATGGCCGCAGCTGCATGCGAGATTTGGTTTATTATTAACACGGTGCAGAACTGCATTTAAAGAACTGCACATATTTCTCAAACGTGTATGAATAGTATTTAGGTTTCTATCGCCACACTACTTAAGTAGGAGGGTGGCTGTATTAATACAGTTTTCATGTTTCGTTTGAATACATTTATATTTCAGGAAGCCCATATGTCGGGGTTTCGGCAATTCCATTCAATAGTAGTTGATGGGAAATAAAAAGGATTTTCTGGTTATATCTAGTCTTAAACAAATCATAATTAGATATTTGACCAACAAGTGGGGCATTAAATCGCAGATGTATTCAGGGGTAGTCCCATTATGTACAGAATAGAATATATTGAGCTTTCTTGACTTTCTTCTGTCCACTAGCAATTGTTAGCTTTTGAAATACATAGCTCCCCGACCAGCATACAGCATACATATTCTTTCTGCTTCCAACTGAACATGTTCTAAATTGTCAGAATCTTGTTGAGTACAACCATCCCATAACTCACATGAATATTCCGTAATTGGTCTAATTAATGTTTTTAAGTATATACGAGCAAGATAATTTCTATTCAATACATATTTCATTTTTTAAGAACATTATTTTGATCTTATGCTTGCACAATATATTATGTGTTCTATATGAGGGGCCTGATGGGTTATTTTCGTTCTTCGTGATCGGTGCATTTTCGCTATCGTGATCCGTTTTTCTACAGATTTTTTTTTTTTATATTTTCGTGATCCGTGATCATGGAAATTTATTTTCTGTGAATCGTGATTGACAAAAAAATCAACTCGTGAATCGTGATGAGACCCCCATCAGGCCCCTCCTATATATGTGTGTGGAATTTATCATTGGTACCAAAAGCAATTCCAAATGTTTATTACAGGAGACCCAATTCTTTACTGCTTGATTTTGAAATTCAATTTCAATATCATATCATATGGGGAAGTATTACAGGAGAATATCATAGCCTAGTATTAAAATTAATTAGTCAGTCTTTAGACCATGTTGACATTTATTCTAAATCGCTGTTTAAGACATCCTCTATTGTGTCAGGGCTATTACTGGAATAAGAAAGGGATGTGTCGTCAGCAATCAATCGAGTGCTTATCAAATTATTAGCTATGTCATTTACATAAATAAGGAATAGTAGGGGGTATTTTATATTAATCGAAGTATCCAATTTATACATGTGCTAGATGTGGACAGAAGCATTTTTTTAGTATAAAGTGCTACCATGCTTCATACTAGCACTGATGGGTTTCTTCTTCATATTGCTTCATAAAATGTTTTTCATGATAATAATAAAATTAATCTTGTTGGAAAAGTTAGGTCAAAGACATTATTACTCAATTACTTTTATGAATACATTCAGATTTAACTTGTCATTTTTTTTCCTCTGCCAAAAGAACTTATCTTGTTTACTCATGTTAAGCTTTTCATGAAAACAATTCTATAAACTTGGTGGGAAATGCTAAGTCAAATGAAACATGAAGCTTTATTACTTGTTACTTCATTTCCTCTTGCCAACAATGTCTTCAAAGGCGATTTTTTTGTTGTCCTTGTCATCATAAATATGAAGAGTTAAAATTTAAAATCCGTATTGATTGACCATTTCGTCGGGGGATCTCTTTGTCTAGTTATATTTCATCATCCTTCAGTCCGAACTTTATTTGAGTACTATTCATTTATATTACTTGCCATGTGCTTTGGTTTACCTCGATTTCCAAAACTCATTCTTATCGGTCAGTTCCCGTATAAGTACACTCGAAGTTTTTAGAAACAAGACCAAAATCGGGTCTGTACCTGAGTCGCTGCATGCAACTGATTGGGGTAACATGTATATCGGAGCATAACTGATCATTCCCAGACCAAATATTAAAAACATTCACTTCAATAGGAGCCAAGAAAAGTTTGACTAAGAATCTTTGTACAATGAGTGTTGTAAAATTTTAAACTATCGGCAAACAGGAAGTGGATACACGACAGATGTAAAAATTGCTTACTCTCTACAACTCAACATTATCAAGATGCAGACCAAATATTAAATCATTCCCATTCATAGATGCCAAGAAAACTTTGACGAAAATTTTCCTTGTACAATAAGTGTTGTAAAATTTTAAACTATCGGCAAACAGGAAGTGGCTACACGGCAGATGAAAAAAAATGCTAACTCGCTACAACTCAACATTATCAAGCTGCAGACCAAATTTAAAAATCAACCCCTTTCATAGAAGCCAAGAAAACTTTGACCAAAATTTTCCTAGTAAAATGAGTGTTGTAAAATTTCAAACTATCGACAAACAGCAAGTGGCTACACGTCAAATGTAAAAATAGCTTACTCGCTACAACTCAACTTTATCAAGCTGCAGACTAAATATCAAACCATTCCCTTTCATAGAAGGCAAGAACATTTTGACTAAAGGTTTCTTTAGGACGGACGGAGTCGAGCGGTTACTAAACCTGCTTCCGCTTCGGCGACGCAAGTAAAAATAGGATGAATTTCTATTCCATTCGAGTTTTTGGACACCGTTTTCGACAAACCAATCAACTTTGACAAATTACTAAAGGGTATGTAGTAAATGAAGTTTTGCGAATGTTCATTCAATGTGGTCTACTAAGTAATAGACCATAGAATCTTTTGTAGTATTAATATGAATACGAAGGATCAAAATGACTTAAATGGTTGCGCAAACTTGGAGGTTAAACGTAAAAAAGGAAGGAAAGCTTTGAATGGTTAAAAAATTGTCGCGTAACTTTTTCTTGTGCACAATCTTTTTGCAAAACACGAAATAATATAACCAAATTTGTTTTTGTAACTGCAATATTTTCATCCATTATATAGCTGAACCAAAAAGTGTGATATTTTTAAATGTTGTCTTATTCACATTCAATTCACATCCATTTTATTCGTCTGAAACAAAATCAAAGTTCCAGTAGACTGAGTAGATTAAGGACAAGTTTGAGAGTTTCGCCATAGTATGATTTTCATTTTATATTTGTGATAATAATGAATAACGAGCGAACCCGAACGCTGTTGTCCTTTCTATTTCTCTCTAGACTTGGATTTAAAAAAATGAAATGGACTTCACATGATGGATGGATGTATAACATCCAGTGGAAAACATTACATGTATATATCAGGATGACGATATGTTGATTTGACATGACTTTGAACCCGGCTTTAAATTTGATTAATTGATTGACTCTTGTCTGTTTAGCGTAAATTGGCGAATATGTCATGATTATCCAGGGTCAGCTTCATAGTCGTGGAGTCAGATTTCAGCATGCTATCTCAGAAGTTGACAAGGGCTCATGAAGACATGTCAACATACCCAGACACACCATTCCAACTATACAAGCCGACCATTCTTTGCTCTTTCTCCTAAATGCCACGTGGTAAGCGGAGAGGCAGCAAATACCAATCATTTCGAGACCATGCACCGAGGCGGTTATAAATTTAAGACAGACATTTTGCGTTTGGGTCTAAATACGTGAAAGACGTCACTTGACCATTGAGCATTATTTGATTTTCATAATTAAATCGTGTGGTCTTTATAAGACATTTAAATGTTTTATTGTAAAAGTAATTATGGTCCTTGTTTTCTATACGAGAACCCTGTTTTAGTTTCATTTGCAATTTTAAAATGATGAAGAAAACATGCGAAATTATGTTGTCAAGACTAGTTTAACCATGCAGTTGAATCAATAGATATGGAAAATGAATATTTAATAGATAATTTTTAATGAATAAAAATACACCAGTTTCACATAAGCGACTTATCGACTCTAATGTCGAAATCATATGCGCTTTTTAGTTTAAATCCCGCGATAAAACAATTTGTACTATAAATCCAACCCATTAACCTTACATTTAAGTTATTTTTGAATTTCTGACTATTATACAACAATACGATTTGGTCACTCTAAACATAAACGGATTTTCAGCTTAATGGCTTATGAAATCATTTCCATACAGATATTTAAAATTGATTTTATTATGACAGCAGATTATGCAAAACATGAAAATCTATAAACAACAATGGTATGTTAAACTCTCAAAAACATTTATAACAAGTAAGTATTGCATAACAAAAGGTACTTGAGCAAGACTTTAAATACTGTTTACACTAATACTGAAGTGACTAATGAATTTATAGTAATACTGTGAAAAACACATACACCATGCTTAAAAATACCATTGACATTTCGTTATATTTAATGCGCATGTGGTTGTACTTTCTCCCGCCTGTTGTCAATAATCTCGTTCAACATCAAGAAAACGACTTACAAATATAACACTCTGGTCGAACTGATCTTTAGTTGTAGATAACAAATTGTCAATGGTATTTTCAAATGCAGTGTATCTATAAAATGTGAAAAACATCTATCAAAAATATATCTAACAAGAAAGACAGGTTACAAACAAATTTTCAACAATAATAACAATATTTTATGACATAATACTGAATGGTTTAATAGTTACAAGAGATCGTCTAGCACACTGAATACTGGTATGGAATAAAATAGTATCTTTTTATGATTGTAGAAGGAAAGCAAACAAGTTTGGTTCAGTCATGTGAATAACTATATGATAAAGAAGCAATCGTTTAAATTCGTTTCTGGGTTTCGAGTAAGAATAACTCCTCTTTCTCTAGTGTAACTTGAACAATTTGTTGGTCGTATGCATCTCATCTACGTACCTGAAAAATAAAGATAAATAAATATGAAAATAAGAAGATGAGGTACGATTGCCAATAAGATAACTATCCAACAGAGACCAAACGACATAAATTTTAGCAATTACAGGTCACCGTATAACCTTCAACAATGAGCAAATCTCATATCGAATTGCAAGCTATAAAAGGCATCAATATGAAGTTCATACGAGAAAACCAAAAGCTGATTTATGTACAAAACTACAAATATGATATACAGCAACCAAAAACAAACACTGGACTACAAGCTACTGATTTTGGACAGGCACATGCAGAATGTGGCGGGGTTAAATATGTTTGATGTCGCCCAACACATCACCCCAGCATGTATATGTGTACATATCTATGTAAAAAGTCACCAAAGATTCAAGGCTTTTAAATCAGTACGTCACACGTTTCGTCTAAATAATACGTATTAGTGATGCTCAAATCAAACTAGAAGAAAGACCGAATCAATTACAAATTTTAAAAGCATGTTAAATGTAGATGTGGGATAAGGTTTGATAGTTGGTGATTGAAACTACAAATGTAGGTATAATGTATATCAACAGTTTCAATTTGTTTGTGTGTGGTGAACTTCTAGGGAATGTTTAAAATTCCACACAAAAAACACAGACATCTACTGAGAAGTTACCACACGGTCTTCAACAATGACGGACAAGTAAGTTCCAACCCACTGCAGCCTATACAACCAATTTTTATTTACAAAATGACAAACAATCTTATACCAACTCGTTTGCTTTGCCCGTGTCTGTAGTGACGTTTTGGATTTCAATGAACGTAATCTATGTATTACTAGTAAATTATTAAGTCAGGGATTTTGTTACCACAAATTACGTAAAACCTTTACTAATTTCTTCCATAGATACAAAGATTTGGTTTTCAAGTTTTGCTGTGACTGTTGAAAACTTATTTCAAACGGAATAGCACATCCTAAATTGTATATGGCGATGTTAACCGAGCCCGGAAATTTAGATACGATCTGGGTAAACTTATCAATCCTTTAAATAAACTTAATTTAAAAAGTTACCAATTCAACGCCGTAATTAATCTTTGAATATTGTTTTTATTGGTATAAATATTGATTTTGTTATCAGTAAATTAAAACCATAGTAAATATTATTGTTATACACATATGTACTTTCACGGTACTACAATCTGTCGATACCTATATTTTGGCATTGCACAAGGTCCTGTTTTTCTCTTACTGTTTATGAAGTCTTTACACTAAATCCATTGGATGTTGGATGTGTACTGATTTTTTTTATTAGTTGTTATTGGCTTTGAACAAGCTGTAGTAACTGCTAGTACTCTCAGATGTGTACTTAGTGTCTTTTTTGTTGTTAGGGATGAGGGATGGATAAATACCCCGCCACGTCCGGTCTGTGTTTTTGTTTGATGTTTATCGGCTTTGTATCGATCTAATGAGTTAAGCCTTTTTCAACTGAATTTTAGCTCACCTGGCCCAATGGCCCTAGTGAGCTTTTCTCATCACTTGGCGTCCGTCGTCGTCCGTCGTCGTCGTCGTTAACTTTTTACATTTTGAACCTCTTTTAGAGAACCACTGAATGGATTGAAACCAAACATGGCATGAATGTTCCTTATGAGGTGCTGACTAAGTGTTGTTACTTTTAAGCTGATCCTTCATCAAGGATGGCTGCCTGCGGGGGACTTAGTTTAACAGAGGACCCTATGGAAAATACATACAAATGCTTCTTCTAGATGTGCACTAAATGGATTGAAACCAAACATGGCAAAAATGTTTCTTATGGGGTGCTGATGAAGTGATTTACTGTTCAAGATGGCCACCAGGATTTTTTTTTATTAAACTACAGGGCCAATATTAATCCAAATTTGGCCTCACTCATTATTAAGGTATCTGTTATGATTTTAATCTATTTTTACATGATTTCCAAAACCAAAGTAGAATCAGATGAGCGACACAGACTCTTGAGAGCCTCTAGTTATAGTTTGTTCTTATGTTGTGCTGTTACACCACTGTCCCAGGTTGGGGCCTGGGGAGGGTTGAGCGCTCACAAACATGTTTAATTCCGCCACATTCTTTATGTGCTGGTCCCTAGTCAAGAGCCTGTAGTTCAGTGGTTGTCGTTGTTTCATGAATGTCAATTTGTTTTTCGTAAATTGTTTTGTTATAAATTAGGCCGTTAGTTTTTCAAATTGAATTGTTTCGTATTTTTCATGTCGGGACCTTTTATAGCCGACTACTAGAAAACGGTATGGGTTTTTCTCATTGTTGAAAGCTGTACGGTTGCCTATAATTGCTCATATCCATTTCATTTGAACTTTGGTGGATAGTTGTCTCATTGGCAATCGTACCAAATCTCCTTATTTTTATATTAAACACAATTGTCAATAGAAAAATACACGGAGAGACAATAATATTTATGACGAGATTCTTGGTTTGGGATTATTATATAAATATTTTCCTTCTTTCATTCTAAGAGGAAATATAACCCAGGCGCTGAAGGCAGACAGACAGTAGCATAGCAAGAAAGAAAAAAGACGAAAAGACAAACACCAATCCACAAATAAACTGTTATCCGACAGAGATATGACTCGCCTTTTTGTAATTTTGTAAATGCAAATGTTGAAATTAAAATAGCAATACTTTAACATGTAAGTTATGCAAATATTCAAAGTCGATGAACCATGACTGAAGGTACATGGCTAAACAATCTCCATAGAATGAGATGTGCCAATGCTAATACAACTGCCTACCAAATACCATTGACCTATTATAAGTCGTTCCCTTTAAACAAACCTAAACACAAACATTAGCACATATTTACAACTTCTCGTCCAATCAAATTGCTTATATTTGCCTTCTAATTTTCATAGTACATACTTTTCCCGTGTACTAAGTAACTACGCATGAATGACCACAAGGGTAAGATTTCATTGTATCGTAATCAAGATATTTAAAACAAAAATTGCCACTGGCTATTTTGAAATAAAATGCTGTGTTCCAAATTAAATTAAATAGTTTGTAATTAGTTTTCACGTTGATTTTTAAATATCCTGCTATTAAAATCTTTGGATCTAAAAAATGTTTTTGACAATTGCAATTTTTTTTCATTTAAATAAAGGGTATCATCCATGCAATTACTTTGTACACAAAAAAATGTGTACTATGAAACCTTGTGAAGGGAAATTAAAGCAACTTGGTGATAATTTTTTAAACTTTCTTAAGGAAGGTGATCTATTTCGTCATGAATTGATTGATTTATTGATTATCGGTTGCTTAATTTCCAGTGGCAAATATTTCATGCATGTTCAGGACGATGTCATGAATTGAAAAACTGTGATTATGTCTGAAGATAATGTGCCAATTATATATATAAACATATTCTGATAAATCTTTTAGTTTTTACTTTGAAATAATAATAAAATAAATAAAAAACACAAAACCTATAACCTCTGATCTATTTGTAGTTGCTTTTTAATGCCTATATAATGACTATATCTATGGGGACAAACAATCTAAAAATATGTTTCAAATTTATTATACCTTTAGTTTTACTGTGAAATTAAAAAATGTTTTCAAAACATGTAAAGCTTCCACTGCAATTTAATTATTGCCTGCTTTTGGTCAATTTATTTGGTCATCTTACCATGTAAGAAGAACATGTATAGTAAAACACCGCTTTATATCAATATACATACTTACACCAGCAGCTACCATCTTTTCATTCTGGAGTCAAGGGCCTTTTGAAATTACGTGTCTTACAATGATACTAGTGAGTAGATTTACAAAACTTCGTTAATGAGTTCCGTTTTACAAACACCTGTGATACAAGTAGTCAGCCAAAATAAACTATCAATAGACCAATTAAAAGATTACTCGAGTTGTAAATATGTGCTACATATACATAGACCATGACTGAGGGGCGGGGCCAAATATTCTCCATAGAAATGAGATGTGCTAATGCTTATACAACTGAACACCAATTAACATTGGCCTACCACTAATGGTTCCCCTTGAACTGACCTTATCACAAACTAATACATGTTAACTTAGCAAAATTTTCAGTCTATAGACCATGACTAAGGGGGCGGAGCCAAATGATCTCCATGGAAATGAGATGTGCCAATGCTAATACAACTGCATACCAAATATCATTGACCTACCACTAGTGGTTCACCATGAACTAGACCTAATCACAAACTAATACATTGTTGACACCGCCGTCGCTGACTCCGGAAACAGCATACCTATGTCTCGCCTTTTTGACTCCATCAAGGCGAGACAAAAACTAAATATTGATCAACAGGAAACTCACCAAAAATGCAAGGGATGTTCTGGTAGGATTAGCAATTCACGCTCCAGTATTGGCACTTGTGTTGATTATGACAAATAAATTGATTGATTGTTGTTTGTTTAACGTTCAGTGCCAAATATTTCATGCATGTTTAGGACGAGAACAAATTTACAGTACATACAATTGGGGGTCGACCAGGATGATGGACGGAAAATGTTGAATGCCACTGGAAAAAAGTGTATATTGGATGGGGACAGACATTTAGCCTTACATCAAAGTTCACTCACTACACGAGGCATCAGATTTAATGTCCCCATTCTGACCAGACGTGGCTGCGAATTTATACATTCATTACAATTTTCCGAAAACGGGAGTCCTATCCAAGATCAAATGGACTCATCTGATAATGAGGAAAGGATAATACACTTAAAAGTTGTCAAAAGTTAAAAGAAAAAAACGAAAATTAATTTGAAGTACATGTTGACTACAAATAAGACCATCAACGAGAGAGTCGTTCTAAGAAGGTTTTAACACAGACGTGGGCCCGTGGTGATAAGAACGAGGATATTGAGAAGTTCTTGTTCGGTATCCTTGATTGTTTCAACCACTTTTTACATTGTTGTTTACAGTTCTTTAATATTCACCTTATTACTCTCTATTCGGGATTTTTTGGGGTAATTATCACCTATTCATAAAACTACATTCAAACTTTGTCGGAAATTAAAATTTGGATATATACGACGAAAAAACATACATGCATTGATTTTCTACAGTGAATCTGACTCTTATAACATGTTACAGTTGTCTCAAAGTGTATAATATCCATTATTTATTCAGTATTCGGCTATACAATTTGCTCTGATTTAGATCATGATTAATAAATCTATAATATTAATTGTGAATACCTAAATGTTTCTATAATCGGTCTTTATAGATAAAATCATCATTGTACCTAGACTCCCAAATTCAATAGTACCAATAACACCTCAGTCATGTAATTAAGCAAAAAGGGGGGGGGTTGAACAGAATAAAAGACTTTACAACTTAAACCCAACCTGTGTATACATGCCTACTTCAAAATTTAAATATTGTATTTCGTTTTTTACAAAATTATAGGAAACATCTCCCTATAGAAAACAGTTTTTGCTAGTGTCTTTGAATATAAATAAAAAGAGAAGTGGGTATACACCAATGACATAGACATCTAAAGGTCAACATACTGGCTTCAATAAAAGACAGGTGTCTGTATGTCAAGCTCTAAGTCTAAAACATCGAAAGTAAAACAATGTGAATAAATTTAACCTTTACTTCGTGTATCAAAGTACTGATATCAACTCCAAATTCTCCAAATGACAAAAACATTAAGACATGACAAAGTTAACCACTGACAGAATTTCCGACTGGAGACAGCAACATATATAAAGTAACAAGCATGTGGTGGGGACAAAGTTTTAAAAAAAATATCTAAACCCAGAAAGGCTTCTTTTTTTTACAGAACTCTTCCTGACAAATTTGGTGTGATGAATCCATAAAAAATGAAAGTAGCAAATAATTTTCTTTTCACTTTTATAAGCAATGAAGTCATGTATCAAATATTTCATAAATAAATCATAAATTTTTTGTCAAAACAGCTGAAAATGTTTTTGGGATTAAACTATAAATGTGTATATATATTCTCATTACACCATTGGTAAACATAAAAGAAAAAAACTTTTAAACATGACAATTTGCAACATTGATTCGCATCTGTCAATTAAAAGTAATGTAAAATTTGATTAAGATTAATAACAATTAGTTGAGTTTGGTTCTCAATATCTTTTTTACAAATGTATGTCATTTGTGTGTTTTGTTTTATTCATTATGAATAATGAAACTGTATTACAATTATATGAACCATTTATTATTTTTAAATCCATTGGAATAATTGAATACTTTACACTAAATCCATTGGATGTTGGATGTGCATTGAATCTATCATGTCTATTGATTGATATTTTATTCTTAGATACATGATTTTTTTAATTAGTTGTCATTGGCTTTGAAATAGCTGTCAGTAACTGTGAGTACCCTCAGATCTGTACTTTGAATCTTTTTTGTTGTTAGGGATGTACAAACAAATGTATAAAAACCCTGTCATGTCTGGTCTGTTTTTGATGTTTTTCAACTTTGTATCGATCTGATGAGTTAAGCCCTTTTCAACTATATCTTATAGTTTGTTCTTATGTTGTGCTATAACACCACTGTCCCAGTTTAGGGGGAGGGTTGAGCATGTTGAGTGCTCACAAACATGTATCCCAAGTCAGGAGCCTGTAGTTCAGTGGTTGTCGTTGGTTCATGTCGGTCATATTTGTTTTTCGTAAATTGTTTTGTTAAAAATTAAGCCTTTAGTTTTCTCAATTGAATTGTTTCATATTTTTTCATGTCAGGTCTTTTAAAGCTGACTATACGGTATGGGTTTTTCTCATTGTTGAAGGCTGTATGGATGTCTATAATTGCTAACATTCACTATATTGGAGCTTTGGTTGATAGTTGTCTCATTGGCAATCATACCACATCTTATTTTTATTTTGCAACATTTTTATATGCCTGTATACACCTGGCTTTATTGTAAATATTTTAAGCATGGTATATGGCATACATGATAAATGATGTAAAACATTCTTTAATGATTTCATCTCTTGTTGTCTCTTGTTAAGAAATTCCTAAAAATTGGATGACTACTTTTTTCTTTTTGGGTACCCAATTCATTAATCATGTTAATTTTAAACATCATTTTTTGATGATCTTAAGACAGCTTGAAATCTAGGATAAACCTGAAGCCAAATTGCAAGCTGATGCGTTAAAAGTACTTATGTTAGATTTTTTCATCTTTTCTTTTTTTATACTATTTGTTTTTATTTAAAAAAAACAAAAACATTTCATTTCGGGGAAAAATCCAATAAGGGAACAACCTTTTGATTTTCTTGGGGGCCAGGAGGATTTTGAAAATGAATAACTTAGTCTGGTAAGAACAAAAAAAAATAATTCTGCGCTTAGCAAAGCTGCAGGAAAAAAAGGCATACATAGCAATAGATCCTAAAAAAAATTTATCCTATCCCCCATGGTCGTCCCTTGTATAGTTTTTTAACTAGGTTCAAACTTATTAGATAATTATTGCAAAAGAATAAGTAAAAGGTGTTTTAAAGAATTAGAAAAAGTTGTTTTAAATTAGGAGATCTTTTAGATTTTGTACATGTATCTGTGACAGTGAAATATACTTTAAGAAATATTTGAATTTGAAAATAAAACATATAACTTACATTGTCATTGGACTATTTATGATAGGAAATCTCTTTTGGGGTCGCTCTTCATACACCACTGGAACACCACATCCAGTTCCCCAGCGAGGAGGTGGAAATGTACCATAACTTCCCTTTGACGGCAACATTTGTCGAAGTGTTGAATATTGTTCAGATCTTGTACTTGGATGAGATCTAAAAATGACTGGAAGCGTTTTCCGTTCAAAACCTCTGAGTGGTGGATCTGTAGGGGGAACCCAGTGCCGGTCTGGAAATGGAAGTTGTTTTGGGGCTAATAACTTGTGTCTAGGGACAGGTGCAGTCGTCCGTAAATCTGTTGGAATATAACGTTTTGTTACCCACACAGTTTCCGGATCTTCACTTTCTTTCCTCGCCATCTCGTCTTGTTCTTTTAAATATTTACTGTATTGTAACCGATAGGCGCCAAAAGCGCCCATACTAAGGGCTGTCATTTTGCAAGAGGAAGACGTCCAAAATCAGTTTCCAAGTTCGTTGTCAATGTCAATTTATCGCACAGGCGCTTGAAAGTCAGAATCAAAATAGCGTTTGTTTATCGATTATGTCCCTTTTGGCGGACTAATGGTTTAAATAATTTACCTTTCTAATCTAAGTGATTAAAAAGACTAATTGTGTTCACTAAACGACATATACTGAAGTATAACGATTATCTGAGACTACTGTAACACATGTGTTATAGTAGTCTCAGCGATTATGAAGTATACTGTTGTGTAAAAAATATCGTGATAGTTAGTTTATAAGATAAATTACGATAAATTTATAATGTATTTCCAAGAGGACCCATAATGGGCAAACTCAGTACAGTGATTAGTATATATATAAATAATTACAATATAACTAATACCATAGAAGTATTACAATACTTCCATGCTAATACAAAAGAAAAATTCCCAGCTTAAACATGAATTGTAATATGAGTTTTTATGTTTGTAACAAATTTATCTGTAATCATTTACTAGTAGTTGATTCTTTCGATCCATAAAAGTATACCAATTCAATAAATACCCCAAAACATTTCAAACTTCGATATGCGTTTGCTTGCACTATTGAACGTCTCAGATGAACTTCGATATGCATGTGCTTGGACTATTTAACGTCTCAAATGAAATTCGATATGCGTGTGTTTCCGACTATTTAACGTCTCAGATGAACTTCGATATGCGTGTTTTTGCACTATTTAACGTCTCAAATGAACTTCGATATGCGTGTTTTTGCACTATTTAACGTCTCAGATGAACTTCGATATGCGTTTGTTTACACTATTTAACGTCTCAGATGAACTTCGATATGCGTGTGTTTACACTATTTAACGTCTCAGATGAACTTCGATATGCGTATGTTTACACTATTTAACGTCTCAGACGAACTTCGATATGCGTACGTGTGCTTTCACTATTTAACGTCTCAGACGAACTTAGATATGCGTACGTGTGCTTGCACTATTTCACGTCTCAGATGAACTTCGATATGCGTGTGCTTGTGAAAGAGATAAATTTGTCCTGGTAAAATATTTCCGGGCGGACACATATTACTAGTATAAAAAGTCCATGGTTACAGAATTTACTAGTATTTTTAGTCCGATGTTAGTAATTTATGTCCCCAGACTAATTTTCCTAGGAATTCAAGTCCATGTCATTAATATTCCTAGGTAAAAATGTCCATGTCCTTTTTTTATAGGAAAAATATTAATGAATCAAATCATTTACATTAAAAATATGGAAATTTAAAAGTTATGTTTTAATATTGTTCTTAAGTTCTGTATTTATATTTTTAATAAAATTTATGTCACCAGACTAAATTTCCTAGGAAATCATGTCCATGTCGTTAATATTCCTAGGTAAAAACGTCCATGCCCTTTATTTTAAAGGTAAATATAAATGTTATGTTTTAATATTGTTTAAGAGTTGTGTATCAATATTTTAATAAAATTTATGTCCCCAGACTAGTTTTCCTAGGAAATCATGTCCATGTCATTAATATTCCTAGGTAAAAACGTCCATGTCCTTTATTTTAAAAGGTAAAATTTAATGAAACAAATTATTTACATGTAAGCAATGGAAATTCAATTTTTATGTTTTAATATTGTTAAAGAGTTGTGCATTAATATTTTAATAAAATTCATGTCACCAGACTAATTTTCCTAGGAAATCATGTCCATGTCATTAATATTCCTAGGTGAAAACGTCCATGCCCTTTATTTTAATAGGAAAAAATTAATGAAACTTTCCAATCTTAACTAAGACAATATGCTTTTTTGCCTCCTGAATTTAAAGGGGTCCCAGACTTTTTTCCTAGGTAATCAAGTCCATGATCATAATTTTACTAGAAAAACAAGTCTTAGGACAATTTTTCCTAGGAAAATAAGTGCCAGACATATTTTACTAGCTATGTACTTATTTCCCTAGGAAAATGTGTCCTGGGACTTACATTCCTAGTAAAATCATAGTCATGGACTTGATTACCTAGGAAAAAAGTCTGGCGGACAAATTTTACTACCGGACCAAATTTACTGTTACACTTGCACTATTTAACGTCTCAGATTTTAATGATATTGTTTATTATCAAAAAAAATTGAACAGAAATCAGTAGATGTATCATAAATTCGTCAATATGTATACAAATTTATCACAAATTTAGAGATTAATTGTGGATATATATGACGCCACAACCGGGCATGAATTATACTTTCTTGTTGGGTTAATAGACTTATTGATTAAGGTTATAGTTTAATGTTGTTATTCAATCCTTGCACCGGGTACTTTTATATCAATTCGCTCAGTAGTGTTTTAAAGTTTGAATAAGATTAAAATGTTTCTTTTCTTCTGCATTAGATTCTGTATACAATTTATCCTGAACACTGCACAAGATTGTGTCTTGACTTCCTATATATACCGTTTATGATGTTGGAGAATGAACCCCCCTCATTCCCAAGTATATCCGTGGGATAAAGTCGGGCTCCAAGCACTCGAAATCATGAAGCAGTCATATTGTTATGCGTTTACTTTTCTACATTGGCTAGAGGTATAGGGGGAGGGTTGAGATCTCATAAACATGTTTAACCCCGCCGCATTTTTGCACCTGTCCCAAGTCAGGAGCCTCTAGCCTTTGTTCGTCTTGTATTATTTTTAATTTTAGTTTCTTGTGTACAACTTGGAGTTTAGTATGGCTTTCATTATCACTGAACTAGTATATATAATTGTTTAGGGGCCAGCTGAAGGACGCCTCCGGGTGCGGGAATTTCTCGCTGCATTGAAGACTGGCCTGTTGGTGACCTTCTGCTGTTGTCTGTTCTATGGTCGGGTTGTTGTCTCTTTGACACATTCCCCATTTCCATTCTCAATTTTATGGATTATAAAATTACCTGATCGATGCCGGGGATATCCGTAATCATACAAACTATATACAAGGTGTAGAGGAGGGACGACAGTGTAGGTGCCGTGTGCAAAACTTTTCATGTCACGTGGTACGATTTCAGCTTCCGTTTGGCAATTTTAAATATTGTAAAAGATCGATTTGTACGTGTTTTAAAATCAAATATACTCTACTGCATTCATGGAAAATATAGCAAGTTTTCACTGAGAAAGATTTGTTGATGATCGAAAATAATTTTGACATAAACAAATTAATGTATTTTTACTTTTTTGGGGTAAATTGTATCTTTGAAGATTATATTCCGTAATGGCGGGAATTTTATTCGCTGTCTATAAAAATATGAAGCACAAGTTTTTGTTAATATTTCGTTAGTTCGCCAGTAGAAGTTATTGAAATTTATAACAGTTAAAGAATATTGTTCATACAACCTAACACATTAAAGGTCTCCTTAGTCTCCACCCGTTGCTGCATAGTACGACGCTAAAAAATTTTCAAATAAAATGTCCAAATATATTTGTCAAATACGCGAGTAAAGATCAGTAAATACTAACCTTATGCATAAAAACTAAAAAAAAATTTGTGTATTTTGATTATATTCAAGATATAATGAAAGTGTTTCACCCAATAAAAGCCATGTAATAAAACAGCTTATTAAAATTGTGTATAGTTTGTGTATTGGTCGGCTTCAAATAAAATGTTCAAATATATTTGTCAAATACGTGAGTAAATATACTTAACCTTAAGCATAAAAAATACATTTTTGTGTATTTTGATTATATTCAAAATATAATGAAAATGTTTCACCCATTAAAAACCATGTAATAAAAGAGCTTTTTAAAATTGTGTATAACTTGTGTATTGGTCGGCTTCTTTCTCTAATTGTGTTTTCTCGTTTTTTATTTTTGTACAGATAAATGAAGAATGAATACAATATTAATAGTTTTGTAATTAATAAAATGTGGTCCCAAATAAAACCTTAAAATCAATCAAATGAATTCTATTAATGTCCATGCCGTATGAAATAAGCCCTCGGGGATAAGCAGTTTAAATACGGGTATATGACAAGTATGTATATTCCGGACAATAAAATGACAATTACAAATTCGTTTATAATGTGTACATGGATGTATATTGTATAACCATTACAACTGTATATTACTGATTATATTTATAATCTCAGTCCACAAATTTCGGATGTCCAGGTGATGTTCACGCCACGGACTGCTTGTAATAAATGACACATTATCACCGCGACCGATTGATAATATAAGACAAATCTGCGTGCCGTGTGCAGAGTGTCGTCCCTCCTCTGTACAAGGTGTAAATATTGCGAAAAACTGAAAAACTAATATTTGTATATAATAGGGAGACGTGATAAAAAATATTTTTCATAAAAGTTGCAAAACATTATGAAAAACTGAAAATGCTATTACGCACGTCATTAATTGTCTTTTCTAAAATGTGTAATAGTTTATTTTTGGAGAAATGTCATATTAAGTACTCTTAGATCGGTACTTTAATTTGTGTCTTTATAGATTTTTTGTAACGGTATGGTGTTTTCTCAGTGTCGATCTAATGATTCAAGCCTTTCCCAAACTGATTTTTACATCGCGATGACCTTGAGGTCATGCCGATGTATTGCTATCGCCTAGATTTCCTTTATGTAAATTAGTTTTGGGTTTGTAACCGATCTATAAATATGATAAATATGCGCACATAAACGAGTGCAAAATAACATTCCTTATCGTTTGATATAAATACATCTCTTCAATGAATACTGATAAAAATATTTTTGTTTACAACATAAATTAATAATATGAAAATGTTTTGTAGTTAGATATATATATATATAAGTAAAAAATCATTGATAATATCAATGAACAAGTACCGAAAAATTTTGTTAAAGCATGCGGAAGAATATCTCAAAGAACAATACCGGCAAGGACCGGTAACTCTGTAATTGTTTTTGCGGGAAAATATGAATGCCTACTCGTATCCAATCTTAGAAAAATCTAATTTTTACAGAAAAGTGTCCACCATGCACTTGCATTGCACTATTATTAGAATAGTAGAATAGAATGATATACAACTGGATGCAAATCATATATATATGTAACTGTTATTTTAATATAATATATA